GGGCTTGAAAAGGGCATCGGGTTTCAGGGATTTTAGGTTTTGGCAGTTGTTCCCATTAGGATGTAAGGCTCTTGGTGTAAAGGTTCAAGGACGTTTTGGGGCTCTTTAAGCTTTTCTAACCAAGCACTGTCGCCTGAGTCGAGATGCGCAGAATCAGCAGCACCGACTTTGGAAACCTACTGATCAGCAGGGCACCCAAACAACCCGTCATGAATCTGAAATCCGGAATGCCCACAAAGCGAACACTGTGACTGTGAGGCGCTGGCAGACTGGCAGAAGTCGTTCACGTCGAAGGCTCACGACTCCCGGTCCCACAACCCCCTCGACTCGAGGTTCCGGGTCTATGTGGCTCTACGATTGCAGGGCTTAAGGCTTAGGGCTTTGTGATGTTTTGGGTTTAGGGTCCGGGCAGGCAATTTACACTACATTAAGGTCCTAAGGACCAGTTAGTTAAGACTAGCACCTTCTGCAGGCGCAACCCAAGGTCCTAAGGGACTTGAAAACCCAAAGGAACTACCACTAAAATCCCCCTTAACACCTTCTGCGCAACCTAAGATCCAACGACTTAATTTAGAAATCCCCCTAACACCTTCTGCAGGCGCAACCTAAAGTCCTAACTACGACTAAGACCCCCTAGCACCTTCTACAGGCGCAACACACGACTCAAGATTAAAAACCCGATACGACTACGACTAAGAACCCCCTAACACCTTCTGCAGGCGCAACCTAAAGTCCTAACTACGACTAAGACCCCCTAGCACCTTCTACAGGCGCAACACACGACTCAAGATTAAAAACCCGATACGACTACGACTAAGAACCCCCTAACACCTTCTGCAGGCGCAACCTAAAGTCCTAACTACGACTAAGACCCCCTAGCACCTTCTACAGGCGCAACACACGACTCAAGATTAAAAACCCGATACGACTACGACTAAGAACCCCCTCACACCTTCTGCAGGCGCAACCCAAGTCCCCGACTAAGTCCCCCTAGCACCTTCTACAGGCGCAACACACGACTCAACATTAAAAACCCAACTAAAATCCCCCTAACACCTTCTACAGGCGCAGGGAAACAATTTTCTGGCCGTCCTGCCCCCCTGCCCCCCCGCCCCCTCCCCCCCCGCCCCCCCTTCTCCGGTTTATTGCCCATCAACAACGACTAGAAGCACAGCTGTCACGGGTCTCAACAGCATGTCTTCATATCTATTTATTCTCTTGTCTCTCTAACTCTTCTTACTCTCTCCCTCTGTCTCTTTCTCTTTCTCTTTCGGTCTCTCTCCACCTATCTGTCTCTCTCTATTTTTTCTCTCTCTGTCTCCGTCGGTCAATCTTTTGCCTCTTTGGCAGTCCTAATTTCCAAAACAGATAAAAAAAGAGCACCCAAAAGTGATTTTTAAAACCTTGCAAACCCAGCGTTATAGGGAGCCCTGTTCATGTGCCTTAGAGGAGAGAGGCTCTCCGCACACACAGGGCTTCGGATCAGACTCCGAAGTGACCGCGAGATGCAGATTACTTACATAGCGGTTTGCCGTGATGGCCTGAATGTGAGGCCGGTCCAGGCCCGGCAACTGCCACAAGCGTGCCACTTTCTTAGCGCGCGGCGAGACAGCTGGCCAATCGAAACCGTTTAGGTGGGAGGCGGCTTTGCTGTCTTGTTTAAGCCAAGCATGCCAGAGCTTTGCCCTCCAGGCCTCGCGAAGCATGTGCTCAACGGCGCCTCGGCTGGTGTGACGCAGTAAGGTAGCGCCGAACCGACTCTCAGCTGCATTAGGCCGAAAGTTTGCGTCGTCCGTAAGGACTTGCTTGGCATCATCGTGTGCCCAGCACCAGGCATGAAGTTCACGCCATCCCTGTCTGCTCATCCATTGACGAAGCATGCTGATGGGACCTTGGCTCTGCTTGGTCGTCCAACATGTGCGGAGGTCGTCGTCAAGATGGGTCAGGATGTAGCAAGCCTCAGCGGCGCCTACCTTAAAACCCGGGTCTGCCGTTGGGCCGAGCAGAAGTTGCCACAGAGGGCCCGCGCCACCTTCCAACTGTAGGATAGCCCTGCGCACGGGTCGCAACTCTTCTATGCTGTAGATGCGACTCCAAGAAGCAGCAGTGAGAGTAGGGATGGCCGTGCTCTTGGCGTAGAAGAGCCGCTTGGTGGTGCTAACTGGCAGCTGTCCCACGAGGTGCAGCAGGCGCTTAGCCCGCTGAAGTCTGCGCTCCTCACGCTTGGAAGAGCCTGTCCACTGCCGACCCATCTGAGCCTCAGAGCCCAGAATCTTCGGCCTTTCCTGCACGTTGCCCTGCACGCGGGCTTCAGTGAAGACCTCTTGCAGCCTGCGTCTCTCTTTCACGCCACCCGTGGTGGCAAAGTCGTGTTTCCCGGCATTTTCCGCCAGGCCTAAACGACCCACTTCCTGCTTCCAAGCTGCAGCAACGCTGAGGCCGGTGCGAAAGCTGGAGCCGAGGCAAGTTCTGTCGTCCAAGTACACAGAGTGGACTTGAGGACCGAAAGACTCGGGAGCGTGCTGTTGTTTAATGCGTCTCAAAGCCTCCGAGAGAGTGGCGATGAGCCCTAAGGGACTGGCAGCGTCTCCCTGCGGCAGAGCTCCGACGTGATCGGTAGCCTGCCTGCTTACAGTGCCAGCCACCGAAAACCATCTCTTTTGCGCCCTCCACGCTCTCTCGAGAGGGTTCAAGAGGAGCCTTGGTAAGCGCATGCGCTCCATCGCCCTAATGGAGTGCAAGTAAAACAGAGCATCGAAGGCCTTCGACAGGTCGCTCGCGGAGAGAGTGCTAAACCTACGAGGCTGGCCCAGATACTGTTTGTCTCGTTCCAAAAGAGCAAGCATCCGAACGAGGGCCGTGTGAACACCCCTCTTGTGAATCGCCCCGCGCTGTTCCGCGGGGACCATGCGGGCGATGTGTTCGCGGAGCTGGCGCACACGTACACTGCTCCAGCTTCTGTAAATGATGGGCGCGACGGAAATCGGTCTCATCGAGTCTAAAACACCTATTTCTTTATTGGGTTTCTGGGCATGGGTTTGATTCCATTGCAGCAGAGCCTCCGGCCATGCGCGGCCCTGTTCGATGGCGTTGAGCTCCTCGGCGATGGCCTGGAAGGCAGCGTCAGGGGCTCGCTGGGCTTCCACCCGTCAGGGCCAGCAGCTCTGTGTTTTTGCTTTCGGATCCTGCTTTTGAGCTGGTCGCCCGTGAGCGGCGGCAGCGCAGGCTCCTCACTGTCAGGCCAAGGAGCTTGGTCAGCGAGCTCGTTTAGCACAGGCTGGTGGAGCTCTCTGTCTTGCTGTGGCCAGATGCCACGCCAGAACTCGCGGACGTGGCCGATCATGGCCTCGCCAGTCTCAGGTTGACCCGTGTCAGGGCTGCGAATGGCCGTGAGGTAGCAGTGGTTTTGTCCTTGCTGAGCCACTTCCACACCTGATCCGGCTTGCTTCGCATTTTCTCCTTCCAGGCCTGCAAGCGCCCTTCCGAGATCTTGTGCTCTTCGGTGAGGATTTGCTGAGCGATCCAGTCTCTACCGTCGTCGTAGCCGCCAGGTTGAAGGAGGCGTGTCTGGCAGCCAAGTTGACGGGCCGCCCTGTGGATGTTGTCACGAAGGCCTTGCGTAGTGCCACCTCTCGCAAGGCGACAGTGATGGCTCCAGTACTCCTCGTGTCTCCTCCAAAGACGGCGGAGTTTACTGAGCCGCACGTTCGCGTGGCCCTCCGGTTGAGCACTGTGGTGCCTGTGAAGAAGACACGTGTGCGGGACCGTACCTTTCAAGCGTTTGCCTCTGCTGGGAGGCAAGCCCCCACGGTCAGCGAAAGCTTCGTCCAGGGCGGCCGTAAAAGTGTGGTGCAGTCTACGCATGAGTCTGTCCCAACTTGTGGCACCACCGATACGTCTCTCGGCATGCGCCGGCCAGTGCTTGCCTAGGAGTTCTTCCCAAGCTTCCTCGGTGAGGTGCTTCGGCTTGTCGAAGTCAGGCGTAGGTCTGAAGCGCCGTTGACTGCTGGTGGTGACGCCAGGGTTAGGAAAAACGTACTGGAGCCCCTAAGACAGAGCGAGAAAAAAAGAGAGAGAGAGAGAGGCGGAAGAGAGACAACGCGAGAGGAAATGAAAAAACGAACCACGTCGAGAGGAACTGACGTCGTCCCTTTGCCCCTCCCTCGTGTTACCCCTGTCATTGACAACAGAAGGCGACAAGAAAAGAAACAGAAAAAGGATCAATCAAAGGAAGGAGAGAAGGGAGAGACGAGAGAATGAAGAGTTCCCTTCGTCCATCTTCATGCCTATTCCTCTGTCATGACTTCAATTTCTGTGTCTTCTTGACAAACGGCAGAGTGGATAGGTAGGAAGAGGAACGGGAATGAGAGAAAGACACAGGACGAGAAATACACAAGACAGATTCTTGATGGTTCCCGGCGCGAGAGGGACGGGAGGACATTGTGATAGACCCTAAAACCAGCACGGAGAATTTGTGAGAGCGTAAAACCATCTAAATCCTCATAAACTCCAAACCTTAGATCTTCCATAGTATACTGACCCCGGTAAACCATAGTTAGGAGCTAAGACCCTAGACCCTTAAACTCCTGTCGAGACCTTTACACTGTACACGCTTCGGCCTCCCGATGTAACCGTCGTGCCAGACCTTGTCGTCGCCGTGTTGAACCCAGTCGTCGTCGTGCTAGACCGAGTCGTCGTCGTCCTTGTCGCCGTGGTGTTGTTGCAGTTTAAATACAAAGCCCAGCAGGATTGCCAAATATACCCTAAAGGTCCATGCCACATAGGGCTTAGGGTTTGCAGAGTTTGGGATCCCAGAAGAATGAAATTAGAATAGGGCTTGTCGCATCCTGTACTGAACACTACATCTGTAGAAAGAATCCCAAGACTGAAATTTCACCAGAGTGTGGGTTTTGGGGTAATCTTATGCTGTGACTATGACAATAGAAGGCACCCTGAGGAGTAATCCTGCCTCGAACCAAACCAACCCCCAGGCAAGGCTCCGTTTGGCAAGTTTGGAAATGACCAGGCTTGGGACAGGTCTCGCTGCTCGCCATGGCCCAAAGCCTGGGACGCTGAATCGATGACAAGGTCTGCTCAGACAGCTGGCATGGAACAGTCAAATCTTGGCAGGTACAACAACCACGGAAAGTCCTGGCACTCTAAACCCTGAAGGCGGACGGGCCATAACCCCTGAATCCGGAGCTGAGGCTAGACCCAAGCCCCGTTTGCCCCATGCATCCAAGGCGCAATAGCACGGCCTTCGCCGCATGTTGGGACATGGCTCAACAGCGAGAGTTTAGGGCTCGTGGACGGCTGACGGGGATTCAAGCTTTAGGGCCGTTTTGCATTTAATTACAGTGTCTTTGGCGCGGTGGGTTTGGGAATGCAGGCGGCGCCGGAACTGTTGCGCTTTGCAGCTGTGATGGAACTATGCTTGTAACGAGCTTCTGCGGCAGGTACATCGTTGCCTTGAGCCTCTATTCGCTTGCAAGCTCATGCCTGTCTGCAAGTTTGCCAAGCTTAAACGCCTTATGACGCTTTGAGCGAGGTCGGCCAAACAAAGTTGCTGTTGCTGCACAACAGTCGAAGCAACTGCCGGAGTGAGATATGGCAGGAACATCCAGCTGCACAGACACCAGCAAAGCATTGCGGAGATCTTGCTTCCGACCACGAACAGCTTTCAAGCGAGACAGCAGTGAGAGGATGCTCGGGGTCAAACTGCGGCATCCGGAGCAGCGGGCAAAGCATCTACCACTGCCTTGTATGAAGATGGCAACTCCTGTTACCGATTACCGACTTCTACCGGGTTCACGAGATGGCTACCAACTCAATCACCTTTCAGCCTGTGTCTATGCATGCTACATTCACGCTGTGAGCCGATGCACATGCAGAGGAGCTTCATCTGCTGGGACGAAAGCTTTCACAAATTTGTACAGGCTGTCAACAACCTCCGAAGAGACGGTGGAGAGGCAGCAAGCCATGACAGTAACACAGAACTGCGACTGGATCTGGTGCTCAAAGCGACTGCATCGTAGCAGGTTGACGACACAGAGACCTCTTGAGAAATCATGCCACTGCCCCGTCCAGAAAGAGCCTGTTGTGCCAAAGCCTTCTCTTCTGCCCGGTGCTGTCGCTCCTTAGCCGAGCTCTTGTCAAGCCTTTACTTTTCATTGTCCTCAGAGACTTGGCAGCTTTGGAGGAGCCACTAAAATCCCGGGTCTGAGCTTCACCCCAAGAGCGGACTTCTGCATTGCTGGGGGCGAAGCACGCCAAGTCCCATCCCGCCAATTTCGGATGGGCATAGCCTCTGCCTGGCGTAGGTTCCATGTTCTAGGACGGCTGCAAACCCCCAAATTCCAAAGGTCCAACATTGCCAGCAGCGCTGTGCAGATGTCGAAATGCTGCCAGCTTCTCTGCTTTAGCACGTAGCGAGCGTCTTGGCGCCTTGCTCAAGCGGGTATCAGTAATCCGATCACGTCTGCACAGATTGCTTTGCATCGATTCGGGGCATTTAGTGGCGGAGGGAGGCTTGGAGAATCAAGCCAATCGTGGAGACCTGGCCGTTGACGGTGACCCCCCTTCCCGTCCCCTAACTCCACGGTGTGGTACTGGCACATGCTGCCTCTATGTCTTCTTCGGTGCAGGTAACCGCCCTTCCCTAAGAGCCGCTGCACGACGGCAGCACGAAAGACTACGTGTGAGTGCGCGAGTCTCCAGATTGAAGCTCTGTGAGTGATCTGCTGTCTTCATGGCAGCAGATTGAAGTGTCGTTTTGGTCTCCGAACGTCTGGGTGCCTGGCGAAGCCACCGCCTCCACTGCCTCTGCCAGCTGCGACTCTCGCACCTGGAGCTCCTGAAGGTCTTCAGAGTTGCACGGAGCAGTGAACCCGGCCCCTGCCCTCCATAGCGGCTCTGGCTCTGGCTCCTTGGGGAGCATATTGCCGAGCTCCGACAGCGACATCGGCCCGGAAGCCAGGACCTGAAGACCACAGACCTTGCGTGGCCGCAGCATGCTGCCGAGGGCCAGGCCTGAATCACGAACCTCTGCAGGATCACCGGGCATCGATAAGAGTACCTGCCATGAGCCGCTGCTGCGTATCGGCAAACACGCATGGCAATCACGAAGAAAAACGATGGAAGACGAGAGATGACGAGAGGAGAGAGGACATGAGAGGACCGCAGCGGTCCTAGCTTCCCCCGGCCTCGGCTCCCAGGCGCGGCGGCACATCGCCACCTGTGCTTTAATCTTTTGAGAGGAGACTTTACACATGTGTACATGTTGTCTGTTGAGATCTCGCCTCAATGGGAAACATCTCGTTCAGCACTTGGCATAGGACCAGCCAGAACAAGCGAAAGCGTGTCCTATCACCGAGCTTAAATCAATGCAGACTTCGGCGAATCACGGCTCCTGCAAAAGCACAGGAGCTGGCCTCGTGTGCTCACTGACGTTGCTCTGAACCCACAGCCTCTTGGAGTGCCCAGAATCTAACTTGTGGGTTCACGCTTTCGGCACAGCTTCAAACTTTGGTTCACATGTCGCAGCCTTGCCTCTGCCATGCGATCCGCACAGATGATGCCTACAAGCCGCATGCTCGAAAAGAAAACAGACATCCCCAGAGCTTGCATCACAATGCAGCTGGTCACGGACCTGTGTGGGCGACGGGGCTTCGGGCACAGTGGCATCGTTGAAGACAGCCGTCCTGACAGCGGCAGGAATCCTAGACAGGTGTAGAGGGTAACAGTGTTGTGTGCTCCAGTCCAGAGGCAGGTCAGGGGCTCGCAGGCTGTATCCTGCAAATAAATGCAAATAAGGCTTGCACGGGATAGAAAGAAACTGGCTAGCACAGTTCTGCTCAAGAAGCCTCGCTTGCGTGCATGCGCAAGAGAATCATGAAGGCCTGGCATGATGAGCCGACATCAAATGAACACAAACTTTCACGGACACTCAGGTGAAGGACATGTGTCCTTTCATTTGCACAGATGTTTGCTGTCCTGAAGCGTCATGATGTCGATCTGTCGGAACTGGAACTTGGTCCGATAATCAACCTCGGTGGAGAATCCAAAGCCTTTACAGGTTCTCAGCTGACTTGTGCATCAAGAACATTGGCTCCATAAGATGGAAACATGCTGCGCACGCATGGACTCGCCATTCCGGACCCACAAGCCTGCACGGATCTCTGCCTTCGCAACAGGACGCAGGTTTGCGTCAAACGACGCACAGACGGCAAAAGAGTCTTCCAAATGCCAGAACAGCCCGCGACCGGAATTCTTGTGTGAGCAGATGTTTTGTGGTGGCCCCCTCCCCGGCCTCGAAGCGCAGTGTCCGCACGGTGTGGGTAATGCCCACCACCTCAAATCTTCCAAACTGCTCGTTGATCTATCGAGGGGCGACAGGAAACCGCTAACTGCGGAGCTGTCTGCAAGGCTCCCACAAGAAACTCTCGAGGGAAGATCCTCCGCCAGCTATCTGCCAGGCCTCAGTTCCAAAGAGCCAAACGAGGTCATCAGCGAAGAGTGAGAGCAACACAAAGACAAAACACAAAGCCTGTAGGTATCTGGTGCCAGCTCCGGATCGTTGACCACCCGTCCACAGCTGCCACTTCTGAGAAGCCCCGCTCGGATCCAGAAGCAGCTCGAAGTTCAAGCTGAGCGTGAGTAGCCTGAAATGAGAGGACTGGACAAGCTCAAGACCAAAGGGCCGTGAAGCACCCCGGTCCAACCACAGAACAAGTCAGCTTTTTCTGCCGTGATGACACACGCTCGCTAGCATAGATGCTCCGTCTGCGCAGCTTCCCGCGGTCCGAGGCCTGACCGCCTGCATCGGACCGTCGGAGGTTCGTGAGGACGTTTCGGGCGACCAGCTGCCGGAGGCTCAAGAGCATGCTGAGCTGCGCAGCACAGACAGGGACAGAATGGCAATGATGGCAACTGCCTGTCGACCTCGAGGAGAAGCTTGAAGGCTCCAATCGTACTAGGAACGGACGATGCCATGGATTTGCAGATCGTTGTGAAAAAGGCCATGCGTCACCTTCAGCTTGATCCACTGTACCATGTGGGGGTAGTAGTTGCTTGGAGTCAGGTCTCCTGCAGGTATATTCCCTTCTGAAACCATGGCAACATGCCAGTCTTTGCCATCTCGTGAGCATGATAACTCGAAATGTACATCCGCGGGCATAAATGTCTCGAAGCTAAACCCGAGCAGATAAAAAGGTGTGTGCGGGAGGAACCAGGCAATCCAGCCATCTTCCAGATTGAGGAAAGAGCCGTTCCTCGCGATATGTTGCATGTGTTCAATGCCGCTATTCAACCACTCTTGGCTTAAGTCTCCCGGGATGACGTTCACCCAGTACCCAAGGAAAGGAAGTCTCTCGTGACCTTCTTCGATGTGGCGTAAGTAGAGCGCGGACAGCATGTCTGTGCAATGCTGACTGCGTTTGAAGCGCTGCTCTTGGGGCTGCTTCTCACGCATGCGAAGAAGCACGGCTTTCTGGCCTCGCGTGCGGGAATCGGCGCAGAGCTGCTGAAAGTCCTGGAGACAGCAGCTGCTTCAAGAGGTTCACAAACACGGCACGAACCCCCCCCCCCCTCCCACTCCAGCCACACCTTTCGTCGGGAAGACCAACCGTCGCAAGTCTGAAGCCACATAAATCTTCGAGCAACCTGACTTGCCTCATGCACTTTCTTGGCGAGATGCATCTTCCGGTATGCCTCGAAGGTCTACGTGCTTGGCGATGAGCTGCAGCACGGCATCCATGTCTTCTGCCGATCCCCACTCCAAAAACAGCTCCAAGAGCTCCCACTCCTTCCAGGAGCTTTGACCTACCATCTTTGCTGCAAGCAAGAGCAGCCAAGGGCGAAAGGCAACAAAAACAGTAACAGCAGACACAACACTGACAACTGACAACAACGCTACCGGAGCAAACGCAAGGGCATTAGTCGCGAGCGCATCAAACTCGGCACGAAGAGCACCTATGGTTGTCTGGTTGTCCATTTCCCCAATGGTCTTGAAGGGCTAAGAATCTGAAGCGAACAAGTTCAGAAGCCTCTCCTCGATGCACAGCAACTCGCTGCTGAGCACTTCGTCCAGTAGCTTGGAGCCTGGGCTTCCGTTCGACTCATCTCCATTTGTGAAACCTGCGTGCCCTTCCTGTCCTCCGTTATGCCCCTCCCAAACCCTCAACCCAAAAAGCGGTAGCATCACAAGGGTGGCTCGAGACCCCAAACATCCCCAAGTCCCAAGCCAGCCCCAAAGTTCAGGCCTTTTCCGAAAGGAGCCCCCGAATTCCTTCAACCCAGAGACCTGGACCTCAACAGCTGCAGCAGAACCGCAAGAAACCTGCAACTCCGAGACTGCAAACCTGGAAGCCCCAACATTCTGAAGTCCCAACACCCCGAGCTCAAGACTCAAGACCACCAGAACACACCGAAACCGCCAACTCCGATCTTCGGAATCCGATAAACGCGAGATCCTCAACCCGAAAAACACCTAGCTCTGCAAGCCCGAAAGGGCTTGCTACACCCTTCAAGCCCCCACACGTGCTGCGCCTTGTAGCCCTGAAACTGAATCAGCCCACGGGAAAGACGGGGCTAGGGCCTCGCCTAGCTGTACGGATCCCATCTCGGCGACAAGAAGAAGAGACTCCAGCGCTCACTGCAGGTTCGCATGATGGGTAACACCATACAGTCACCAGGGACCGCATGACTAAGCTTAGCAAGGTTCGCTGTGCGCCTTATTCTCCAGCCATTGGGGGAAGTGGCTCTCGTCTACTCCTGCACCTGGTGCCCACGCTGGGCTCACGGAAGCAGCCAAGCATGATCCTTTTGAAAACCAAGCCTGAAAACCTTCAGCTGCTTCTGCCCAAGATCCAAGCCCTGAAGTCAAAGAAGCACTAGGAGCACTGGAAGATGCTAGAAGCCCTTGTCCATGGTCCTCTCACCGAGCCGCTGAGGGAGGAGCGCCGGGGCAGGGCATCCCGCGGCTCGATGAGGATCTCCTCCTTGGCCTTTCGGCGGAGCTCCTGGAAGCTCACGGGCCCATATATCTGAATGTGTATGTGTATATGTGTCTACATGAGTGGCACTGCATGCGTGCATGCATGCACACCTGCATGATCTGCATATGTGCATGTCTACAAAACATGCTTACAAGAAGAAACTTATGCACATGCAGAGTAAGCTGCTCAAGCATCTGCACATGCTCGCACATGCACAGGTACATCTACATACTTACTTGCATATACATATATATATATATATATATATATATGATTAGAAAGACAGATACAATGTACGAATACATGTACATTGACCCAGCTAGACTTTTACGTAGGTAGTGAGATGATGGCTTCGGGCTTCTGGCTCAGTTCCTCTGAGCTTCCTTGGCTCCTCGAGATGGAAGCGGTCAGCGCATTCAAAGATCTCACAGGCTGTCTCCGAAGCGAGCTTCTCCTTTACAGTGCCCATACAAGCTTTGTAGAGGGGCTGAACCTGGTATTTGTCTGCGATGACTCCGACCTCGATCAATGTGGAGAGGTTGGTTGAAAGGGTCCCAGAGTAGAGGAAGCGCAGGAAGGCATCCACCGCGCAGGCGGAGAAATCCTTGATGACCACTTCAGCAGTGGACCCTTCGATGAAATGCTGATGGCTCATCATGTTGGCAAAGACATCTGACCACTTCCTCAACAGGAGAGACCACACCGGAAACTCTGTGCGTTTGGTACCATCCTCGAATACCTCCTCGACCACCACCTTGAAATCGCCTTGCCCGAAGCAGCTGTGCAGCACGTCAGCCACCAGCGCTTTGTTTGACAACGTGCACATATGACTCATCTGTCTACAACGGGAGGAGCTCCACCTAAGAAGCTTGATCTTGAGCGCCTTCAATGAAAGACAGCTCTTTGCTCCCTCGCGGGGTGCCAGCTCGACTTGCAATCTACTTTCACGCGCAGATCGGATACTATTTTGCACAGCACACTCCCGGCACCTCAGCGCTGGCATGTGAAAGGACGCCGTCGTGGCATCGTTGAAGGAAGCTCGGCATCAGGCGCTGGCTAGCAGCATGAGAACTCACGTGGTACAAGCATGGCAACACATGCCCCCCCCCACCCAATGTTTGATCCAAGCGGCTGCCGAAGCCCCTGGAGTCTTGCAAGGACGCCACCAGCCAGGAATAGAGAGGCAAAAGCTCCTGAGATGCGATTACTGCAAACCTCGAGGCCTCTCGCTCCCACGCTGCGCGTCCTCCAAAGTGGCCTGCGGCCGTCTGCAGAAGTCGCACAGGGCAGAGAACTGGTCCAGGATTTCCTTCTCCAAAAAGAAGACCTCCACACAAGCCAGCAGTTCTGCAAGGGGCGCAGGCGAAAGAAGTTCTTCTGCTCCTTAAGAGACGAAACTGCACTGCACTGCACTGCGCTGCCCGGTCTTTTCTGCTCCCTGGGCCAGGTCTTCTCGCGCAGCACAGACGCGGAGCCGGAGCGGCACAGGCTCTTTGGCAGCGTTGGGGACCTGGGCGAGGCTTGGATAGCAGAGTCCGCTTAGGTGGCAAGCTCAGGTCCGCGCAGGGCGGCCTTTGGCCGCTTGGTCGCAAGGGCGCCTTCGGAGGCGCTACGCGCGAGGCGCCCAGCTCGAGGTAAGCCTGAACAAGCAGGCTCCTCGAATGCTTCGCGATGCTTCTTTCCGCGTAGGGGTACCAGGCAGCTGCCAAGAGCTGCAGAACAAGAACCTCTGAGCGCGTCACTAGTCGTCCGCCGCTTCTCTGAAAAGGCATAGGCAGCACCTGGCAATAGAAACATGTCGATGCTTGCGAGAGGACGAACCCCTGAAATTCTACAAGTAAATTCGACTTCCCAGCAATAGCAAGTTTGGAGATGTGCTGTCACTAAGTACCCCTCAGCTGCAATTGTAATGCACGTTGAAGTTGTCAAACCCGCATTGTGCACGCACTCTCTGGCTAATCACCGCAGCTCGAAGCAGAAAAAAAGTTGGCCTGGGCCTCCTGTCCCGAAGGAGGTATGGGATCCCGCCACGGGCAGGGGGGAAGTCGGCCATTTCACCATCCTTGCGAACAGCTGTAAGGAGGAGCCAAGGAGAGAGTCTCACCAGAAATTTAGTCCGGGCCGGGCAGCCATTGCATCACACTCTCCTCGGCTGAGTGCGACAAAAAAGCTTCGGAAACAGCATGCTGAGCTCGAAGGACTTTTTTGCGACCCGGCTTCTGTGGGATGATAATACTTCGTGTTCAGCTCGAAAGCTTCTGGTGCTGAGCTCAGCTCCACACCAGGCCTGGCTTTGCCAACGGCCTCCAAGGTCCAAAAGGAAAACACCTCTCTCAGAGCTGAGTCTTGCTCGCTCTCTCTGCCTCGCCGTCGATGAACCGCAGTGAGGGGACCAGATCCAGCAGCTGGTACCGGTATGCCCGAAGATCTTCCTGGATGCTCGCCCACGCCCCCGAACCCCGAGTGGCCGCAATCTGTGAAGCCCGAGCGACTGCGATCTCTACAAAGGGATTCCCCGTCACGAAGATGGCCCGCAATTCGGAGCAGTTGCCGATCATGTGAAGTGCCTCGCTTCGTCTCGCGTTTCTGTTTCGTCCTGTTTGTACACTCACTGACAATACTCCCCTATTCCTGGATCCCCCTGTTCCGTGAAAGGTGCAGCCCCAGGCGTGGGCCCGAGCAGGTTCTCGCAAACGTCCAGTAGCTGGAGCTTCGGCAGATCCCCCAGGCGCTCAACGCCTCCCAGCCCCAAACTCCGCAAGAAGCCCCAGTCCCAGGGTGCCCCGACCGACGTCGCCGAAGGCTGCCCCCTCTGAGCTCTCGGCGCCGCAGCCGATTCCGCGCCAGGCGCAGCCGTCGCAGAGCTGGCATCTGCGCGCTGAGCCGGGCCACGGAGACCAGCCCTTGGCTAAAAGCGAAAGGCGAAGAAGGGGCTCGTGACGTCGTAACGTCAATATAGCTTCCAACACTTACAACCTAAGTACTATCAGTATCTTGTGCTCGGTGTCGATTGTCTGAAGCATCCAGGATGGTGACGTGGCTGAAGCCTTCGAAGGCTTCAAGGTGCTCGAAAACCTGCTGTGGGCAAGTCACGATGTGCCTCGCAAATCCGGGAGCGTGGTGAGGTTCTGGGCAACGAGCCGGAGTTCCTGGAGGCTGGGCTCTCAAACTCAGGCCCCGCGACTCATGTCACGAGAGCAGGACCAGCTCAACCCTTTCGACTCCGATTCATCCGGCTTCAAACGGCTTCAGCTTTCCTCATTCTCGACCTGCAACATCATGCACAAGGACAATGATGCTCTTGATGTTTTGCTATGGTGAGGCTTTCGAGCACCGACAAAGTTATTGAGCATCGTAAGTCGCCGCTGTCTGCCAAAACGTATGGTCGTGCACCGCTTTTGGAAAAGTCTTGGAACTGTAGAGCTGCAAAAGGGTAGATTGATATGGTGCAGCCTACATCGCAAGGCAGGCAACGAAGGTTGAAATCTGCATGGCGAACCAACGAGCTTGCTCGACGGTCCTCCGGGCGCTCTTGCTCAGTCATATCCCATGGCTGTGGGGCCACGGGGGCAGCTCAGTTGCTAAGCGCTCACGCTGCCGGTCAACATGATGTGGAGGCATCTTTGGGCCTTGAAACTGCGGCAAGTGAAGTCAGGTGCAAGCTGAGAGAACTCTTGTGTATTCTTGTCGGTCTGTTCCCTTGAATAGCTTTTGTGGAGTTAGCGAATGCTGTAACTAGAGGCCGTTACTTCGATTTCACAAGTTGCAACGATTTCAGAGTTCGAATACAGCCAGACACACAGACACACGACGTTGCTTTGCCAGCCTGCAGCTGGAGGCGGCGCGACTCATAGAGAACATGTTCCGCCGTAGCCCTGTGCTGCAGATTCATTCGCCAAAGGCGCTGTAGTACCTGGCCAGGAGCACAGCGCTCGACATTGGCTGAGCTGCTTGGTATCCATCCAAACTTCATCAAACCCATCCCTCAGGCAGCAAAAACGCACGTGCATCTAAGCATGACATCCCAAACCTGGTCTCGTTGTCTCTGCTCTCTCTCTCTCTCTCTCTCTCTCTCTCTCGCTCTCTCTGAAAACCGTCCTCTGCTATGGCTTCCAATACGGATGGCGTCTTGAGGACATGCCTGCCATCACGGTCTGCGCTGACAGCAAGTCGCAACATGACAACGAACATCTCTATGAACATGAACCGATAAGACCAAGTTGCTCACAGACGGACTTGTGGAAGAGGACATAGCCCACAGTGTGAAACACACTTCGCAGCTTTTCCCAAGTTTCTTGCCTGTGCCGAAGGCCCAAAGAACAGAACTGGAGGAGTGGGGTTGTCGTGGGCAGGCTCTAGACGAGGCGCAAAGGATCCGGATCTTTGAACACGATCTGCTCATCCTCGTGGTCCACGACGAGGCTCAGGTATCTGGTCGTGCGAATTTAGATCATCTCAGACTTGTTACTCTCCACTTCACAAGCCATTACGCAGCCGAGGGTGGCCTGTTTGCTGCTGCTAGAAGGGCACCGAAAGCATCCTCTGACATACCGATCTTTGGAAACAGGAGCTGGGCTGCCCTGAGCTGGGGCTGGGGCCTCCTTTGCGACAAGCTCCAGTGCCACCTGCAGGCGCAGGTGCTCCGAGCAACGTGGCGAGAGACCGCACCCTCCGAAAAGTGCTGGCCACGCCTCAGGGATGGTGAAAAACTGAACTCCAAGGGAGCCCAGGCGAGGGGTTTCCTGGAAGCGGCAACTTCGGGCTGTTATCGGATGTGTTTGGGACTTTAGGATGTGAGGTGCATTGAGGCGCACATACCTTTCCGAAACAGTATTTCCCTCTACTTGCACATAGAGGCCGATTTTGGCAGGCTGCATCTGCCCTGCAAAGCTTGTTTCGAATGAAACAGTCGCGGGCTGACACCTCCTCGCGCGATATGAGAGCCAAAGCTTTGTTCGGGAACCTCGAGAATGTGCTCGTACTGGCGGATGAACGTCTTTGCGAAGCTCCGCTTGAAGGACGGAGACACCTAAGAGAAGTACGGACTGAGAATATGTGGGCAGAAAGGCTCTGCACAGCGGAGTTGATATTCGCCTGCACGTAGAGCAGGAAGAAGCGCTCCAACTCCTCTCAAAAACTCAATTCCTCTGTCGAGCCGCCCACTTACTCTTACTCGGACAACCCGCCTCGGCACATGAAGACTCCTCCACCGCCGCCTTCATCCAGTTCACCAAACGTTCGCCTGTCGCCAAGATGCCAACATGCAGGTGCAACCCATTCACGGCAGGCAACGCCTTGAAGCTCTTGAACCACCAAGTAGCGGAGACCGAAAGCAACCTCGCCGGCAGCGCCGCACGGTTCGCATCGGGTGTACACATTCCCTGACGGCCTCACCCAGTCGTCGGAGAAGTGCGAACAGCGCAGAAGCCTGCAATTCATGCATCTATTAGGAATTAGGAATCAGGAACGGTCATTGAACAATCCAAGCAGGAGATTCTTGCCGGCAGTGTTGTGGCTGGCTCGGCTTTGGCACTCGCATGAAGCAATGATTCCATGCTTGCTGCATGCACCTGAATCTCCCCAGTGCTATCGCTCGCCAAGGAAGTAAAACCCGCATCAACAACGCTACAACATCGCATACATCTCAGAGCAAGAAAGGCGCAGAATCTCGCTGGGCCTGCTCCTCACGGACACGCTGGTCTGCCGCGGCCTGATGATCACCACAGCTAGGAACACTTTGGCAACAAGAGGCGCTTTCAACGAGGCATGATGTCATGGCTCCCAGTGGGACCCCAGTGCCCTTGGCTCTGGGCCCAGCAGTGGGCCCTTTGAGGCTGGCACCTCACTACGCAGAAACCCATGCCGCGGCTTCAGTCTTTGATCAGCCTCGTCGATTTGAGCACTACAGGGCACCGGGAACATGCAGGAAGCGAGGTGCAGCGAGCCTGCAACATGAGCTCTGGAATCAAGGCCTTTGCAGAACGGAGGCTCACGTGCAAATAAGGAAGATAGACAACGTTGACTTTGCATCGGCATGCCCGGTTCGCTAGCCGCTAGCCCTCGAGAACCTCGGCACGTGTGCGCAGCGCAGGAGGCAATAGGTCCAGCGACTCGGCATTGTCGAGCCTGCTCGGGCCAACCCAGCCTCTTGACCTTGCCTCCGCTCAAGTCCCCACGCTCCGCCCGTTCTGCCTTTCCGGAGTCTCACAGTGCTCTGGGCAGAAGCCTGCAAGCCAAGCATAGAGTTGCAGTCAGTTATCTCGTCAGTTTGAAGCCGGATTCTGAACTCGAAAACCGTCCCAAATTATCCCAAATTCGTCACCCAAGAAGGTCTGGAAGTGGAGCCTGCCGGTGCCCACGACGAGGGATCGCCACCTGCACAGCTGGCACGCGCTGCTTGCTCATTCCACCTGCACTGTAGCTTGCATGCTGGAGCAGCCAAGCACAACGCAGTCACAGCTTCCGCCCACGGTCCGAATCATTGCCACCTCGTGGCCAATCGAACTGACTGAAATGGTGACTGCCAAAGTCGGGGCCGTGCCCACCTCGTGGCCCTCATGCTGAGCCTGTCAAACGGATTGCCAAATTGCCCTCTGGCACCACACGCTTCGGCTGGCCTTGAAGAAGCAATCGCAGCACTGAATGCAATTGCTGTCCAGCTCCTGAATAGTGAAACGATTGCCCGACCTACCTTTGCAGCACGGTGGAGTCAAGCGGCACAGTCCAGGCACCGAAATGCGACGTCCTGCCATAAAAATGTCTGCTCATTTCTGCCTCCCGTTGCAGCGACGCTGTCCTGCGAGCCCCATTGAACTGGGCAAACACCTGCTCGTGGTTGGGACGCCTTCACTTCGGCCTCCCGCGCTAAGGCTTCCTCCTCCAAGCTCAAAGCGAGCATCAGGCGCCGGCTGAAGCATTCAATGACAAGTCGAAACCCCAACGCTGCGATGATGGAGATGCATGCACACGTGCACTGCTGAAAAATGCCATGCTGGAAACCAGCCGAATCAGAGCTCAAGTAAGGTGCAACGCAAGTTGCAACAACGCTAGCGAACTACAAACAATATCCGCTAGACCGTGATTCCCTCAACCACCACTTGCCCCGCTTCTCCTTGCTGCTTGCACCGAAGAGGTCACAGACATGGTTGGAGAGACACTGATCAAAGTCGCCGCTCCACAACCTTCGCTTGGGGCTGAGGGCTCTTTCGGATCCGGGATTTGCGGCTCCGCAAGAGGGAGCTCTTCGCCTCTAAGGTCCCAGCCCGCTCGGAGCGGTGGAGTCTCGGTCTCCTTCTTTCGAGCTTCGAGCTTCGAGATTCGGCGACTCTGCTTTTTGTGAAGGGTCCGGCAGGGGGCGGCAAGTGCATGGCAGCGTTTCGACATTCCAGGCACCGAAACTGTCGGGTTCTGGAGAAGGTTGGAGGCTCCAAACAGCTGGAAGTACTGTGAACGGCTTGGCAGGCGCGGGCCAAAGACAAACACCAAACTAAACCCTGCCACTTTTCGAAAGGGTTGGGATGGGCTCAGAACGAATCTGTGCAGAGAACAGCATCACAGGCTTCGAGCAATCTTCCTTGCTCCAACTTAGGGTTTAGGATTTACGGCTTGGGGCTTAAAATGAAACAGTCCATCCCCCAACTCTGAACAGAAACCCTACATCTTGAATCCTGAACACTTGATCTTAAGTCTTAAATGTGCCAGAAACAAGCGGACGGCGCAATAAGCTCTCTTCGGTCCTCTTTTGCCCATGCATGCCCTTGCCCCAAAAAAACTTGACACCCCAAACCCCAAACCCCACAGCTACGAGGGTTTGCACGCAAGGACTCACGAGACTGAGAACGTTTTGGATGTGTGCATGAAACTTTGCTACTGTGAAGATACGACATGGAATATCTATGTCCTACTCCTCCACAGGGTGTCTCATATAAGCCACGTACACCTTTAATGATTGAAGACAGCCTCCCTATCAGGTCCCTATCTGTGGGGTCGAATACTAGGGCGTGCTATGTTTCGCTCGTCTGCGAGCTGATGGACGGAGCCGAAACGTCGCGCGTCCGGAGACGGAGCTGAGGTTGAAGTGCTCCAGCATAGCATGAGGGGTGAAAACAGCGGGCCAGGGATCAATCATCCCGGGTGTTGAAGGCGAGAGGGAAGCTCGCCAGCGAGCTGACCATGCGGCGACATTCGGGTCTGCAACTAGCTGCGACGCAGGTTTGAGGCATACGCCCCTGCTTGCACACTCCTCACAAAGACTCAAAGTTTCGCACTATCCTGGGACGCACCCATGTCAAACGATTTGGCTTGCTTAACCGCAGTCTTTGGCGGTCTCACTAGCATTCACCAGCGATCAATGCGCGTGCGTGCCATGAGGTCGTCTACCCTGACCAATCATGTGCCGAGAAGGCAGTCTTGCTGAACCGGCTCGCCAGCTCCCCCGCGATTTCAGAATTCGTACGCCTCTGTCCCGCAGTCCAGATCCTCGACGGCTGACCCGACGAAGCCGCGGATTGCGAGAGGACGCGTCAACACCAAGTTCGTCAGGATCCCGACTACGAACGTTGTCACGATTGACCCAGAAAGTGACAGCTGATGGCTCGTTAGCGTGAGGCAGAAGCCCCTCCAGCAGCCCCGCCTCCGTCATCTGTCCGTGCTGAAGAATCAAGTCCCACACAGGAAGTCTGTGGATTGAACCAAACCGGTCACCAAGGAAGCACAATTGGCAGGCCTTGCTTGGAAGGAACAGGGCAGACAGGGCAGGCAGAGACAATCTAAGACTTTTGCCAGCTGCAGACAAGCTTCTCAATCATTGAATGGTGAGTGCCACACGCCCACGCGACGGATACATCAGCAGACATGTGCCCAAGTCGAGCCTCGACTTCCTGCACATGTGTCGAAGGTAAGTCGTGCTTCCAAATCGAGCTTCTGCTTGAACATGAGCTTACTTAAGTACCAGCATTGACCAATGCAGATTAGTCAACGAACACTTAGAACTACATTAGACCACATGACTATTCTCTTTTCAGCCCAGCATCTTGGCGCCGTCGCATGCTCTCAGCACTGCTTTCGTCTTCCCTTCTTGCCAGCATCACATGGATGGGCACGGGCAGAGGACCCAAAGAGAGTGGCTGCAAGCCCAGATTGCGAGACCTGGCAAGTCGCATTGTGTCGATTCGCTAATTCTGCACTGCAGCACGCTCTCGATGAAGAAGCTTACCTCCAAAAGCCCCGTCAATGGCCTGCGTGTGGCGGCACGCTCCACGCACAGCCAACTGGCACCCAGACCCTGAGACACAGGGTGCTGTATGAGTGCAGTTTCCAAGGCTGTGGGGCCTCCTCCAGTTCTGTCATCTTTCCCATGCAGGCAGCTTGGTACGCGTCCTGCACGTGCTCTAGCAGCCGCTACTGTAGCAGCAGTGTCAAACGGTGTCGACTGACCACGGTTGCAGGACATGGCAGCGTCCTGCAGCACTTGTCTTGCAGCTCCCCACGCTGCAGTGCCCTGAGACACCAAGCGCAGCATCATCGCCAGGAAGTCGCGCAAAGCTTCCTCTGCATGTGGAGGAACCCAAATCAGTACGGCACTGAGGCTACTGGCCTCTGCAACAGGAGGGGTTGGCAAGTCCGGCGCCAGGTGCTCGGCGGAGGGGTCCAACAGCCAAACAGCCTCTGGGCGGAGGGCAACAGCCACGCTTGCCGGCATGCCATGACATCCCGGCCAGCCTTCACAACCCTTCCGGCAGCCACGAGGCCACGCGCTAGCACCAGCACCAGCCTCCGAAGCGCAGGCGTAGCAAAAATTCAGTCGTCCCGGCTTATCCTGCTGACTCTCTGCAAAAGAGGCTACTGAGGCTACCTGACTCTGTGCATCCCCAGCGGCGTTGCTCCCCAGGAGTGGCCCAACAGAATCAGGTCTTTGTGCTCGCCCGCGCACCTTCGAAATGCAGCTGCTCTGCTCTACGAAGTCTGTCTCTCCGGTTCGCGCCGGGCCTCTGCCGCAAGACTTCTGCCAGGTCATCCAAGCTCTCCTCGGATCGCATCTGCACGACACGACGCTCGCAGCGACGGCACAAAGGCCGGTGAACCGAAACACTGGAACGGTGCCACAAGCTAATCGCCAGGTCCACGGCTCCGAGTGCTGAGCATCCTCGCTGAGCAATCCATCCGCTGCGCTCACTGCCAGTGTCGCAGCCTGCAGGGACACGACATGCCGAGGTGCCGAGGCCTCCTCACGTACACGGCGCGGGCCTCCAGCAGTGACTGGGCCAAGGGACGGTAGCCGTCGATCCCAGCGCCTCCATCACCAGGGCAAACCAACACCTCGCACACCTCTTTGTGAGCATCCGACTGCGCCAAAGGCTTCCAACGAATGGACTCGCTGCCCATTAGGAGGGCCACCACATCCTGGATTGCGGCGTGGGAAGACTCCACTCTCAAGCGTGAAGACTCCGCGATAAGCCTTGCAATAGAAGCCCCTGGCGACAGCATCTGACGAACGGAAATTTGGATATGCCGATCAAGTGCCATGGAGGCCACCCTTACCGCTGACAGAGACGTTAAGCCCAAGCTCTCCAAGGGCTGCGAAGGTGAAGTCGGCGCCCTGCCAGTGACCTCCCTGAGTATGGCTAGTAAGTCCTCTTCTTGCCCATGCGAAGCGCACGAAGCGGGACCTTTCTCCTTTCTGGTTTCCCGATCCTTTCTGAGCTCTGCGGCTACCGAGGCAGTGAGGGTACGGCGGTCTACTTTGCCAGAGGTCGTGCGTGACCATGCAGCGGTCTTCCAGAAAAGAATTCGCTGAGGCACCATGGAACCAGGCAAACTCGTCCGACAAATCTCCAGCAGCTCCGGCAAAAGCGTTGAGGATGTCTCCTTCGCAGACACTACGGCCACAAGGATGCCGCTCTCGTCTGCGAAACCTCCAGGAGTCCCAGACTCTGCGGCGGGCGCGAGCACAGAAACTGCGGCTTCCACAGCGGAGTGTCGGCAAAGTACGCGCTCGATCTCTGCCAACTCCACGCGCTGGCCCCGCAGCTTCACCTGCAAGTCCTTTCGACCACAGAACCTGGGCAAAGTCAAGCAGCTTTCCCTAGACCTGTGGAGACTTCTCGTGCTTGCGTGATGCAAAAGTCACAATAACCTCACGGAGCACTTAGAAGCCGAGCAGCCGCAGGCAGCCGCAAAGGCCGTCTTTGGAGCGCTCCCGGACGACTAGATCTCCGGTGTGGTAGCTTTTCCCAGCACCTCGGGAAGACTGCCTGAAAGCTTGATCCGTAAGCTCCGGTGCGGCCACATATCCCGGCGCCAGACCGGGACCCGCGAGCAAGAGCTCTCCACCCAGCCCGAGCATCAACAGGTCTTGCTCGCAGGCCTGTCCTTCGGTCTTCAGGTGCACATGCCGGTGGGAGGAGGCCCAGCCGATCGGCACATCTTCCCCTGCGACTTCCTGTAGAGGGCTCGGCCCAAACAGCAAAGCATTGATGGCACACTCTGTTGGGCCATAGCGATTGTGCAGTAGAACCCGGGATGTCGGGGCACGGCTGTAGTATTCCTTCGCAGCAGACGCCAGGGCTTCACCACCGCAGCCCAAATGTCTAAGACTCGGAAGTGCCAAAGGCTCCGTTGTGAGATGGACCATAGCTGACAGGACAGATGGCACGACTGTTGTGAACGTCACAGTATTCTTCTTCATGATTTTCCAGAGTTCGGACGGATCCGTCATGGGGTTCTCCTTCGTCAGAATCAGAGTTGCTCCGCTTAGCAGTGCACCAAATATCTGTGAGTAGGCCATGTCGAAAGAGAAGGAGCTGGTCAGTAGCACCTGATCCGACCCCTTCAGCCCCAGAGTGCGAATGTAGGGCAAGAGGTGCGAAAGCAGTGCCCGATGAGAAAGCAAGACACCCTTCGGTTTGCCAGTCGAACCCGAAGTGAAGAGCACATAGGCTGCCGTCGACTTTGAAGAAGGTGAGATGGGAACTTGCTCCATTTGGTCGACGTCCTCCTGGACCCGAACTTCGAGGAACAGAATCCGGCGGTCGCTCTGGTTCACGATCCTGAGCCCGGCCTCTGCAAGAGACCTGGTGCTAAGAAGTGCCACAGCCTTGGCCTGAGACATCATGAAACAAAGCCGCTCCAATGGATTTTCCGGGGCCAGAGGAAGAAACGAAGCCCCCAACAAGAGCACTGCCAGCAGAGCAATCAGGAGCTCCTGACATCGATTGGCAAACACGCCCACAACGGTCTGATGAGTCGGATCGTGGCCGGGAGCTTCCTTCAGAGCTGTGCTCAACGATCTTGCCAATCCACGAGCCGCCCCTGCCAAAGCTTCATAGGACAAGCTGACCCCGTCCGAGGAAAGAGCCGTCTGCTTTGGAGTGCGCTTGGCTTGCTGTAGAAATAACCCCTCCACACGCAGATGGTCCGGGAGGGGCAGTGCCCTGCTTGAGGCCCAGCTGTGCAAGGCTTCTCGCTCGTCATGTGGAGCCAGCCCAAGCTCCGCAGTGAGCATCTTTGGCGATTCGGATTCGGATACTGCCGCAATGCGCCGAGTCATGGCGTACAAGTGGCGATCCAAAATCTCGATGCTCGTTCTTGCCAGAACTTCCCTCATGAACTCCCAGCGAAGATTGAGCCGGCCGTGTGCCGAAGCCGATGTCTGAAGACTCACTTCGAATTTCGCTGCCGTCGGAATCGGACCGAAGTCAAAGTCTTCAACCTCCAGGCCCTTCTGCCGCGCGAGCTCCCTGGAGCCGTCTGCAAACTGACCTCGGCCACGACTCGGCACGACGGACGGTACGGGGACTCGAACTCAATGCGAGAGACGGCTAGAACGGCTAGAAGACTGTGAGACATCTTGCTTGCTTCGGCCGCCAACCGTTCTTATGGGCTGGTCCGGACTTCACCGTGTCAATGGCAAGTGGCACATTCCACCAAACTCTGAACCCTACCGGCCTGGAATGACGTGCTGGAAGAAGGCTTGGACGATGGGATTCCGCTCGCTCTGGACATCCATCTCCTGCGGAAAGCTGGCAAAGTTGAAGTAGGCCCTGTGGCCTCTGCGGATATGCTCCTGGCCTCTCCCCTGGTCTTTCGCAGCTCTGCAACGAGTCTTTGAAAGGGAAGGGCAGCTGCATCAAGGGCCGCGAGCAGGCGGCCCTGAGTCCTCAGAGCAGCGCCGACAAAAGCCCGAAGCTCTGGCTGTTTCCTTTCGGTTTCGAGCGCAGGCCCATCAGCTCCTCTGCACCAGCTGGCCGAAGGTGAAGCGTCGATCGGCCGGCTCTCCGAAGAGCTGCAAGCGGATCGGCAACGTGTTCCTCGAAAGGCAGCTGTCCTCTCCCTTCTTCTTTCGACAAGTGTCTCTTTGTGCCAAGGGACACGAAAAAACCCAGGATCTTCTGCAGCTCAGGAGTCTTGCTCCTGCCAGCCTCCGGGATCCCCACCAGCAGCTCCTCCTGTGACGGGATTTAAGGAGTTTCGGACATCGCAGAGGTCTGGATTCGAGTCCTGGCCACAGCGGCATCCGAGCGCAAGTCCAAACAGCGAGAGCCTAACTGCTCGAGGAAGCCTACCAACCCCTAACTAAGTGATGTCCCACAACGTTGCCACCGCTTCGCTGCTTTTTTGAAAACTAAAACTGTTGAAGCTGTGCTCTGCGTGCTTGTCTTGATTCAAGTCGTCTCAAAGCGGCAGCAGGGCCATCTCGGAGGCTCCCAGTTGCGCAGCGGCCTTGCGCAGGGCGCCCAGGCTCTCGGTCGGCCACTCGGAGACCTCAGAAGAGAGAGCAGAGCAGAGCGTTTGTGCGCCAAGTGCTGGGGCCAAAGCCAACTCGCCAGCGGCGGCTTCGCCGTTCCGAGGCAACGGGGCGTCGAAGGGCAGGCGGAGGCTGAGGCCAACGCCTGGAGCGCGAGGGAAAGCTAAGGAGTGTCGGTGTCTCTCACTCTCCATCTGATTCCATGTGCTTCTATGTCGCCCGTCCTGCGAGCTCCGAGGCCCAAATGTCGAGGCACCGCTGCTCCTCGCCGGCAGCCAGGAAAGCCCGCTGCCAGACAGCGTAGTCTGAGTATTGCCTGCGAAGGATGGCACGAGAGCTTGATGCTGGGCTCAGGTGACACCAGAGGCGAGGTGCGGTGATGGTGCAGGGCAAGGTGTGTCGGAGGTGAGAAGCTCGAGCAACTCCTTCTCAAGCAAAGCCTGCATGCGTTGCATGCGTAACTGCAGGGAGCTTGCGCCGACTATCTGACCACACCAACAGACTCTGAGATCCCGGGTTTAATCTGGCCTGAGACGTGGCATCAAAGGCAGCGTGATGCACGTTGAAATACCTTGTGTTGCGAATCCCGTCCAGACGAGCCCCAATGATACACGGGCTGCATAGGCATAGGTTGAGCTTCGAAACACTAGGAAGCTGGACTTGCCTTTCTCTGGCATGCAGAAGACGTGGACTCGGAGAAGGCAGTGGTCGAGCTGAAAACCTGAAGGCAGCAGCTCATTTCCAACATCCGATTCCTTGAAGTCTTGCAGAAGCATCTTCCAAGCTCGCATTTGGAACTAAAGGCTCTATGTATCTCTTCCCCATAAGACGCTTGCAAAGCTCTAGTGCCTGGATTTTGGTACAGGTGCCTCGGCTGGCATCAAGACGCATGAGCTCTGCAGCTCCCTCGGCAGCTTCTGACCAGATGTCGCTTGAAGGCAGATGAAACCAAAGCCAGCTGCACCTAAGCCGGGCGTGCACAGCTGAGGAGCACCCAGCCTTGCGACTGGCAAGACAAATAAATGTTTACCAACGAAGAGGTCTCCAAAAAAAGCACATGTGCCGAAAACTTACGATTCCTGCTAGGCCTGCCTGATCTGAGTTCAGCTGCACATCGTCCAAGGCACAAGCAAGCCGCAGCTGACAAGGGGTCCGGCAAGTGAATGGATACCATGTCGTTGATCTTCTGAACCAGCGATGTTGCATCTGTCGCAAGCAGAGTCGTGGACTCTCGCACCCTCGGAAACGCATCAGCACCAGATCGACCTACCCCCTACCAGCCTTGAATGAGCGCAGTGCGCAGCACGGAGTGATTTCGGACCAAGGCCTGCCATCCCGCGTGCAATCCCTCCCTTTCAGCCTGAAGCAGTCTGCGGCCTCCCGCCTCCAAGCCCGCAACTAGGCCAGCGCGGGTGAGGGAGGTGCGCTGGGCTGAAAGCCGGAAGGCAAACGGAACGTTGTAGGCAGCACCTCAGAAGAAGCTGCAGCAAACTTTGCTCCCAAGGGCTCGGCCTGTGCAACTCAGGTGCTCCCAGGGAAGAGTTGGTCGACCAACCACAACCTCTCCTGCGATGTAGTTCTGTCCAAAGCTTACACTCCAAACTGTGTTCCGACCAGTCCTGCGCAAAGGAGGCAAGAGGCTGGTTGCTGCTGACTGGCAGCAGCGGCGGTGCTGAAACCTTCCAGCCACGATGCGTACTCTTACCGGCACGGGAATCCACAAGCTTGGTATGGGGTCTGGCCCCGCCTGTCGCTGCTTCAGCTTCGCTTCGGCATCGAGGAGCATTTGGGCGAGGCGCTTTGGTGTGCGGGCGCGAAGGACGTCAGCCAAGGTGACCTCCGCCTCCTTCAACTTCTTCTTCAGCGCCGCCTGCAGCTTCATGGCCGACAGGGAGTGGCCTCCGAGGTCGAAGAAGTCTTCATGGATTCCAACAGGCACCTCACTTCTTGGACCGACCGCAAAAGCACAAAAACTGCTCTTCTTCCACCGCGTTAACAGTAAACAAGGTAGTCCTTGTCGCATCGCTCCCAATGTTTGAGCATAGTGCCGCCAAGAGCAGCTGACAGACTTCGTTCAAGTTTACGGTGACGGAAAGGGTCTCTCATGCAAAAGGACCAATTAGCTTGAATCCCGGTCTGCCGCCGCTATCTGGGACCGTTTTGTCACAGTGCTTGCAGCATGTTCAGCAAGACCTCGAAGGTCGCATGTTCGATAGCGCTGCTATAGCGTTCACTGAGTCCCGCACGGCTTGGCCAAGGACCTCCTGGAAGACTTCTGCCACCAAACGCTCCCAGTCGTTGCCCTCCTGGACGTCTCTGTCGGCGTTGCTCCGGCGGCTCCGGGCTTCCCAGAGCGATCGGAGCTTGGACTTGTCCGGTTTGCCGCTGTGGCTCAAAGGAAGTGCGTGGAGGCAGACGCACACGTCGGGGACCATGTAAGCGGGCAAAACTTGGCCAGCTCTTTGGCGGGCTGCCTCGGCCATGCCTTCTTCAGCCACAACGAAGGCAACCAGTGTCTTCCAACCTTAATTGCATGGGCTGCTGCACTTGCTTTTCCTGGCCATGCACTGATGCTGACACTTGGCAACGGGTTCTCGATCAGACTCCTTCGACAGACTCTGCACTAAAATCTTGCTGATCCGGTGCATGCTCGTAGTCTGGATTCTGGGGTGTCTCATTTGTCGAAGACAAGCCACACTTCACGTGTCCCATCTACATTTCATTCACGGCACAGATCTCAATCGAGAGATCTTTGACGGTATGAGACACATCGCTGATGCAGACCTCGCCCTTCGGAACCCTGAGACGGAAGCGACGAAGGAATGCTCGCGCCCTGCGAGCACGTGATGTGAAGCGTTTCCCGGATTTCTTGGGTCGGAATGTCCCACGAGAATGTCTTTCACGTCGACAGTGCTCTGGAATCTCAACAAGATGTCATGAAGTGGCGGGGGGCGGGGGGGTTCCTGTAATCCTTCATTAGGCCATTCACTGGCTACGACATGCAACAGCAGTACATGTCAAACATTGCTTGGAAGACCGACTAAAGAGTCTGCCAAGTAGCCAGCCGCATTCTCACCGGATGGCAAGGCTAAGACGCTTGCGGCTTCGATACCGGGCTGCTTCAAGAAAGCCAGCTCAACCTCTGCCAATTCCACGCGATAGCCGCGGACTTTCACCTGCGAGTCGATACGGCCAAGGAACTCCAGCACGACGTCGGAGGCATTAAACTGCTGAAGCTGGGACGGGTCTCCCCAAGGCTTCAGAGGCATGAAGCGGACCATATCGCCAGTCCGATAGATCCGCCCAGAGTGAAAGGAGTTCGGCAAGAAGCGCTCTGCGGTCAAGTCGGGCCGGCCTATATAGCCCTGGGCCACTCCAACACCGCCGATGTAGAGCTCACCGGTCATCCCGACATGAACGGGCCCAGATTGCCCAAGGCAATAGTACTGATGGTTCCAGATGGGCCGGCCGTAGGGAATGGAAGGCCAGTCTGCATCTATCAGTGGTACCTCGAAGTAGTTGGACCAAACCGTAACTTCTGTGGCACCGCCCAGTGCAACCACCTGTGGTGCTTTTTCCGGTCCGGCCCTTAAAAGGCTTTGGACCAAGGAGATGGGCACCCAGTCTCCACTTAAGAACACCAGGCGCAGAGCGGCGAGAGCTGGCGCAGCCTCTGCGAGCCTGGGCTCCAGTTGCTGCAAAACCTGGGGGGCGGAGTCCCAGAAGCTGATCCTCTCTGAAACCAAGAGATCGAAAAGCTGGTCGGGAGAGGCTGTTTCGGAGCCGGACCAGAAGTGAATGGTGCTTCCCGCTGACAAAGACCCAAAGATGTCGTAGCACGAGAGGTCGAAGCCGATGGAGGTGGTGAAGAGCAAAGCATCCCTCTGTGTGACATTGAAGGTGCTGTTCCTTTGATACTAGGAGTCTCTCAGCAATTACCTAGCGCAGCGCCGTGCCGCGAAGCACATGACTTCCTGTCTGCCAAGGAGCACCCAGTCGATGAGATGCACGATGGACCGGTGGGTCACGGCGACTCCTTTCGGCTTGCCTCAGGCTGCTGCGGCAAAAGATTGCGTTTGGAGTGGGGTACCCGGGTTCGTGTACCCTCCCCCACCTGTCGATCCCGATGTGAAGATCACGTACGCAAGCTCGTCGCAGTCGATGGACGCCGGGAGCACGCACTCGTCGCCGGCGTCGCGCGTGAGCTGCTCAGTCGGCTCCTTGGCCCAGCTTTCTCTGCGAAGGCTTCTGCTTGCTCTTTCACGCCTGCCTTGCCGCCTCTCATCCAGGCCGGGCTCCGAGAGAAGGGATCCATCAACGGCAGGGATTGAGCATGGGATCAGCTGCAGCTGCTGCGGTCCTGGCGATCAAAACGTCGGCTGCCCAACTTTAAGCCCTGTCCCGTACAGTACCACTGGTCCTGCCAGAATCAGAATCACCGCTGCGTCTTCCACCATGTGCTGAACACGTTGCCACGGCAAGCGATCATCGCAAGGGACATACACTCCCCCGACCATGAGAATTGCCAGAGCCGACACCACAACCTGCACAAAGTGGGAGAGATCAGAGACGCCGAGAGAGGCATTGAGGAGTAGAGGGCTCATGCCTCATGATGCCGCGTGTGTCGCTTCTTAGGCTCGGCCCGGGGCCCCGGCCGTCTCGCTCCGCGGCATCCAAACAGCAACAGGGCCCGGGCCCCCCGAAATCTTGCGCTCCATGAGCCATCGCGCAGCCTGCACGGCCTTCTCCGCGAGGTCCTCAGGCAGGCGCAGATCTACGCAACTTGTTCAACACCGCAGTGATGGTCCTGGTAGCTGGTTGCACTGACATCGCCCGCAGGACCGTGGGACACCTGAGGCAAACAGAAAGAAGGAAGAAAGGGAGCCGCCGGGTGCATCGGCCGGCCGGTGCATGAACGCACTCTTGCACCCTCAAGAAAGGGCGAAGCTCAGACAACGGAAGCAAGACTGAAGCAAGTGTGTGGACCTTGAGCCCGCTCCTCCCCTTCTCCCGAGCATCGACAAGCCAATTGCGCTTCTGGTCTTCTGCTAATGGCTGTCAGAAGCCAACATCATGCGCATCAGAGGGCCCACGTTTCTCCCTGGGCCCATGTCCTGGTGAGGTCTAGGATGTTAAGTGTTCGGGGTTTCAAGCGAGAGCCTCCAGGCTACGGGCGTAGCAGGTACTAAAGGTATGGATTCGACCACAACCTTAGCTAAGCCGGGCACCAAGGCAGAATGACCAGCAGGCACTGACTTCGCACGATGGAGGAATCGTCTGTGCACGACGTCTGGCTCGTATGCATATTCCGTGGCGTTGAAGTCCTGGCATGGAACTTCTGGCAAGCATGAAGCCATGTCAGGGCAGAGATTTCGAAACAGTCCTATCCCTAGTCTTCCTACCTAGCAAGCTACACAGCTTCGACTGCCAGGCCTCAAGAAGAAGCTGACGTATTGCGGGAGGCAGGACATGCTCTTCGCCTCTCGTCTTCACCCAAGGGCAGACATGTGTAGCAAGGACGGCGGGCAAAGACGAGACGGGCCTTTCTCCAGGTCCTCGACCCCTCTGAGCAGCTCTGCAATGCCCAGCAGTTCCGGGCGACAGCGTAGCTCCGCCTCACGCGTATCGAAGCCAATCCACATATTTCCACATTCCACGAGCCTCGGCGACAGAGACGACGATGCAGAAGCAGGGCTCCAGCTCCAAGGCTGCGAGCCGCCTCGCAGACGGCAAGAAAAAAACTGCAACTCATCGAATTCATCCGATCCCGGTCCGAGCATCCAATTTGGGCCGAAGCACGCGAGCATATCCTCGCATCCGACTGCAGCCCACAAAAGTCCTGCTGGGAGCATGCGTTTCTGGCAGTCTCGCCTTTGCTTTGCCTGCCGATCTGTGCCACACTTGCCTCCCGGCCCTTCCGCAGTGGAGGCGGTCCTGTACGCCAGCCTGTGCAAGCTGGGAGCATTCCAGCACTAAATGTTCTGCGGCAAGCCGCGCTGACGCAGCTCCAGCACACTGTCGCCGCTGAATACCTGTAACTGGCTAACTACCCCGACCTCTCCGCCAGTTCTGTCAGCACTCCAGGTGGTGGCCAGGGATTCTCCGGAGACAGTGTGTCGCGGCCTGTAAAAACCAGCTGCCGGATGCTGTACTGCCACAGAGTAATTACTCTGCATCGAACAGAACCCATTCATTTGACGCGTTTCTGCTGCCCGGTGCAAGAGAGAACTACGCGAGCTGCCGACAAATCACTGCATGCTTGACAGATTCAATGCGACTCCGAGCGTGAGGTTACAAGAAAGCTGCACCAATAAAGCAGTCGTTTCTTGAAGGTCTTGTTGCTCCCGGACCCAACTATGGCCTTTGAGGACGTGGATGGGCACCGGGGGCGCGTCGGCCGAAGGCGGAAAGGCCAGAACTGAAACCTGGACTTCCCCGGAACCGTCTCGTTTGCACCTGCTTCGTAGGTTTCCCAAATGCCAAGGGGCTGTTGGGCATTGAGCGAGGTGACAAAGCCGTCGGCCCAGCGAATTCGCCCAAGCTCGCAGGCAGGAGAAGCCTCGGGCGGATAGTGTGCCCCACGACTTCGACGGACCAGCTGCTGGCTTCAAAAACTGGAACCCTCAGACAACCTCTTGCGGATTGCTGGCTTTGCTCGCACTTGTTCCACTGGAGCTTTGCCTCAGCGACACCACTGCCGATCCGAACTTCTGGGAGTTTCTGCGGAAGGAACTTGCCACGAAACTGCCGTGTGTCAAGACTGGTCGACAGGAGCAGCATGCTGGCTGCTACGGCACTGATGCAACGTCTGAACCCTTGCAAAGCCCTGTTTTTATTGGCGAGAGAGCCAGCCAGAGCCAGCAAACATGCAATGTCGGCACTGCAAGAGAAAATCGATACCTCGACGGTTCCTCTTCAAATTCATTGCTTCAAACCTTGGGCTTAAGGATCGCATCTTCTTGGAAGCGGTCCAATGCTTGAAACGCAGGTGGAGCCCATGCGACTCGCTTGCTACCAGCTCCCATATTATCCCTGCCCCGGTCTCGTCCTTAATTTGGATCTTCGGAGGGGTTCCAGGGCACTGGGAGGGGATAACTCAGCACAAATCAAAGCTCAGTGGCCTTCAAAGCCCTCGTGGACCGTTGGACGGATCCAGGATGCACATCCCACACGCAGATTGAGAATGCATGGCATAAGCTCAAGTTCAAGCTCCACGTAATTAGAGTCCCACGCATCCTGTTGAAACCTCCCCCCACATCAGTAAGCAGAGCCTGCTGCGCCTTGGTAGCAGGCTGCACCGAAGTGTGAAAAACGCTGAGGGGCACTGCTTGCGTTAAAAAGTGTCTTGGGTTGTGGCATGAGCCACATTCTGTACATCCTGAGCTTCCCAGGCCGACTTGAGGGACTTGCTTTTGAGCATCTCATTCACGGCTATGTCAGGAGCGATCATCTTTGGCGAGGCTCCTGCTGAAAAAAGACATAAGGTGATAGTGAGCAGCCCAAGAAACGGGATGACTGGCAGGAGGCTGTCGCAGGAAGTGAGGTCGAAGGTCACGCGGATCGGCAACCAAGCCACTGCCAGAACCCACGGAAAGATGAGATAGGGGAGGGTGAGGGCCAAGCACGCTCGACTGCAGTATCGCATCAAGCGCACACCCATCTTCCAAGTTGCGATAGAAACCCAAATGCCAAAGAGCATCTGCAGCGAGACACTCGTCCACCCGATCAGCCCCCTACAGGCCCAAACGACACGGTCGAGATCAGACGTAAGAACCTCAGCACAGCCCTGACCGGATGGACATGGACCAGCTCCGATTCTGGAGATGTAGTCTGCTAGGTTGGGCGCATTCGAGCCAAGGGTGATGTAAAGGTACTGCTTCAAAGGCAGCGTGTATCCCCCAACGGTTTGGCGGATCGTGCGCGAAAGCCGAGACCGAACAAATTCATTGAAGAACTCCAAGTGTGCCTCCGTGTCATCGTCTGGAGTGCCATACCATTTCTTGAGTGTCCGGAATATTAATCGCCGGTCACACGTAAGCTCATCGCCAGTACATGGATTGCGATGGTTGTTGGCACAGCAGAAACACTCGGCTTCTTGAATCTTGAAGTTGTTCAGGTTCTCCGGCAAGGCCTCGATATCACCTCGCTTCAAAAGCTTGAATTCGATAACTGTCAGATTCATGTCAATAGGAAAGAAGCGTTCCTGCTTCCAAGTCGCGAATCAGCCCCATCCCGATGTACATGTAAACAGGAGCACCGCAGAAGATGATGAAAAGAAGGGTCCCGCCGACAAGCAGCCATTCCTTTGGACCCGACTCATTGAAGTACTCGCTGGCGGTATCAGCTGCAAAGCCGATAATCTGCCAGCAGACACAGAAAGCAATGAGCGTCGGTGCCAGCTTCACGGGCATGATGCGAACGGACTTCTCCTTGCCAGGCTCTCGCAGGAACGTCCCCAGCTCGTAGGTGCACCAGGCTCCTCAGCGTTTCAGTGCCAAGGCTCCCCATCCCAACGCTTCAGTCTTCTGGGCCCCTAACCCTAAACCCTAAACCATCCTAAGCCCTAAATCCCGCCCCCCCCCCTCCCCCAAAAAAAAAAAAAACAAGGAGCTTGCGGCCGAGGCGCTTTTGAAGTAGCGCGGCGACCAGAGAACTGCCAGGATGTCGGAGCGATCCAGGAACCCGGCGAGGCCCAGGATGCCTCCCAGGTAAAGAAGGGCCCCTTAAGAACAGGGGTTTTGGATGGTTTTGGCTTGGGGCCCCCAAAAAAGGAGACAGGAAAAACGGCTGAGCTGTAAGAGGGTTTTTCAATTGCATTCAAGAGTTCTGGTCTTTGGTACGAGAAACTATATCAGGATTTCTAGAACGGGTTCGTTGACTGGGAGCTTCCCGTGGTGACACGCCACTCGAGGCGATGATAAACCGGAACAACCCGCACCTTGTTCCTTCAGCTTGTCATCATGCTGCGCGATACACAGGCGATCCAGAAATACGACTAAGGGGCGCAGGAAGAGCTCACGCAGGTGCTGCCAGAAGAAAAGGAGCGAGTAAAAGGCTGCCAGTGGGAAGGCTTCCGTCCATTTCTCGTCGGGTATGACGCCGAAAGCACGCAAGAGGCCCACTGCAATGCCGACGCATATAGACAGAATCCTCGTCTTCGTCAGGGGGAGGGGCGCCTAGTGAAACAGCTATGTCTAAGCAAGTCTAATACCACCTTGGGACGTCCGGAGTTTGCGAAAATCGAAATGCAGGTCCATCCAATCTGAGGTTCGAGGCAGCACGGACGTTGAACATCACAGCCAGAGAGCACAGCTTAAGCCATCGCGACGTCCCCCAATCGTGGCTCAAGAATACGTCGAAGTTCTCCGTTCTCCGGCAGAATCTGCGGGTGGCATAGAAGTCATCTGTGTATTGGCTTGGAGCTGCCCAGTGCTGTCCGCAGCCACTGAGGCATGTGCTCAATGGCACTCCTTGCAGTAGTCGCGGACTCAAATCCGAGGGTAGTGAAGTTAAAGCACGCTTCATTCGAGAGGCTCTGGGTGCCGTCTTGACACCTTAATTCCCTACATTGCATCTTGAGATCGGCTGGTATTTCAGACACAGTCACAGCACACTGCAGCACGATCCACAGCATTCCGGTCGCTCGGCTGGAGTCCCTTCTGTGGCTGCGGCTGCAAGCATCGAGCGCGAGGCCTCCCAGTCCCACCACTGGAGGATTCAACAGTCAAGCAGAGCAGCACAGGTCTACACTGCGGATGCCTCGGAAGCGCATCGCGCTGGTTTCAAGCAGAGGGGTAAGCTGGAGACTGCTGCCTCGATCCACCGAAAATTACATGTCCGGCTTGCTCTGAGCGAGAACAGCCCGTGAAGTGACTTCGACTGCACTTCGGCCTCTGATGCCAAGAGGGGCGCCCAGGCAGAGATCCAATCATCTCGCATTTGCCACGTTCGCAAGAAAAGCTGCCAAGCTTGCATGCTGCAGGACCAGGCCTTGCTGAGGCGAAGGTCGGAAAGACACATCTGCATGACCTCGAGCATTCCGCGCATCCGCCGCATCCGCTGCGTTGAACCGAGTCGAGCCTGCAGACTGGAGGATCGGAAGCATGGCCAGGAGCTCTCCGCAGGGCATCTGGGGCCTCACCACACGGTATCACATGCAGAGGCCAGCAACTGCAGATGCAGAAATCCCGTGTTCTGAAAGCTGCCTCTCGAGGATGCACTTCACTAGCATGTCAAACTCCGCCGCCCACTCCCTCGGAAGTCGGAGATCTAGGAAAACTGCATGGACTTGCCTTTCCTCCTATGCAAGGCGACACTGCCGTGTTAGAACCTCATGAGGCAGTGACAGTCCGAGAATCAGTGTTCAGAGAGCTCTCAGCTGCAGAGTGCACTCATGTGCAGGCTGTGGCTGCAATTACGTGCCAACGTTCATGCCGCGACATAATGGTGAGGGTGACGCTGATGTCGATGCTGATGATCATGAACATGACTATGGTCGTGGTGATGGTGATTACTATCTGATGGTGGTCGTTTTATCACGAAGATGACTTTGACCAATGATGGCACCGAGATTATCAGGACTGTGCACGAAGAGGATGACGACGAAAGAAGACGGGGAAGACGACAGGCGCGCTGCTCATGGATATTGCTGTTGCTGATGCCGACACCGAACTGTCCACTGCTGTCACTGCTGCTGCGACTGCTATTCTGCTGTTGTCAATTGATTGGTGTTGCTTTTGCTGCTGCTTCTGCTGTGGATTGCTGTGGCTTCTACCTTTGCTTGCTCTGCCGGAGAACTGATGACAGTAATACAGCCTAGACTCGTGGCCACCGACATCGTGTACAGGCTAGCATCGAAGCGCAGTGTGAGCTCCATCTCGTCGCCTGCGCCAGCGACCAGCGTGTGGGCAACATGGACGGGGCAGCACCGGGAACTGCGAACACGCATCACTGTCTTCAGGCAAAACAGACTAAGGTCCTGCTGCCGGCATGAGCATGGCGACCACGGGCAACGTTGCCCCAGTGATCGGAATGGATTCATCGAAAGGATGCAGATCCTAGCCAGCACGAGCACTGGAACATGGAGATTCAAGGCCACTGCAAGAGATGCAAACCGGCCTCCAGCCAAGACCCGCCAACTCCTTCCATCGGGAAGTTCTCGTAAACCAGCGTGGTCTGGAAGAGATCCTCACACCGTACGCAGTCGGGTGCAGCCTCGCAGTTCGAATTCTGCATTTGGGGCACTCGGGCGCCAGTCAACTCGCACCATTCCCGAATGTGGGCCTCAAGAATCCCAAAGTCACTCTTTCCAAGACACAGAGATCTCGCTTGGGCCGATGCAAGGTTGCAGTACCTAGGTTTGGCTACTCTCACAACTTTCCGTGCTATTGCTGCGCAAGATGCACAATGCTTCTGGCCGAGCTGATCCTGCTCATCACTTCAATCCGAGCAAGCTGCTGGTGCTCAGTCACGTCCAAGAGCAGCTGCTGAAGCTCCAACACAAAATCTGATCAGTCAGCATCTTCAATCATGTCTGTCGGGCGAGGCGATTCCGGCCTCTGCAGCTCGAGGCGATCGGAACGCGAGCGCGCAAAGGGACCGTCGAGATCAGGAGTCCCACCATCCCTTACACGTCCAAAGGGTGTGGAACTGTTGGCACACTGTGGTTCAACATTTGTACATGTTGACGGGTATTGTGCTAGATAATATGTGCTATGTTTGCAAAATTTACTTATTCCTCTATATAGTAGAGCAAAGACCATACATACACACATGTGTGTAGGCACGCATATAGATACACAAATAGACAGAGAGAGAGAGAGAGTGACTATATACGATCTTTTCATCCATATGTATTTACGTATGTACATACGCAAGTATGTATGTATGTACACATGTATGCATGTATGTGAATGTGTAGTGTGTACCCATGTTTTGTGGTTTACTTAAAGTGACTGTGGCCGGCCTTCCACTCCCGGGACAGCAGCGTGGCGTCCGGACAGCACGGCCCCGAAGACGTCACCCATTCGGCGATGTGCCTCCAAAGCTTCAAAAAGGCAACTACTGGAGTTTGGGGTTCCTTTTGATCATAGCCACGTGGCCAGTAGAAGTGCCCATGCACTGTGAAGCACCGCGGCGGAAGTAGCGCCTTCCTCAAAGAAGGCCTGCACATGCCAGCGGCTCTGCAGGTTCTGTCGTTCTGGGCTGTGCAACCGGGGCTCCTGGACCGAATGCTTCGACCAACCACGAAGGCGTCGGCGCAGCTGTAGTTTGGAAGACTCCTTTCGAGCTCAAAGCCGTAAAGCCTGTCCACATCTGCAGCTGCATGGAGCGCCACAGGAAAGCTACGACCCTTCCTGCGAGTCGTGGTCGGCCGGGGCCGGAACAGCAGGCGGCCCTGTCGGCATGCTTAAAGGACCAGACTTACTTGTCCGTGGCAGCCGAAGCTGGGCTGCACTTTACCTGCTTCGGAGCTAGACCAACCCACCGACTGCTGGGACCGCGCCCACGGTGAATCTCACGGTGGCCTGTTTCACAAAGATGCTGACGCCAGAAACGTCGCATCTCTTCTCGTCGCTTTGCCTTCCGAAGTCGCTGAAACTTGTGCATCGGAAAAGGAGAAAGCAAAGGAGTCGAGTAAAGGCAAAAGAGTCTCCAAAGAGTCTCCAGCCTGGCTTCGCAGTTGCACGAAGGCGGCAAAGGCGGCTAAAGATGCGGCAGGTGCCAGCCGAGTGCCTCCTCGGGGCTGGAAGCAGACAATGTAACACACCCAGTGTCGTAGATTCAGATCTCTTTGTGTGTCTCCTTCATAGAAATGCAGGGCATCTTGGAGCAGCAGCGGATTCGACCAGCCATCGGAGATGGCATGGTGCTCCGTGCGCACGAAAACGAAAACGCCATCCTCAATTTTACAAAAGTCACTCTTGGGCCCAGGTTAACGGAATGGAAGCCAATGGCCTCAATCTGCAGCTTGCCACGTCGAACCTGTCAAGGCTTCTCCGACCAACGTAGCCGACCAAACATCCGAAATCGGAGGGACGGAGAGAGAGAGAGAGAGAGAGAGAGAGAGGCGGGACGAGAGCGAGAGCGAGCGAGCGAGAGGGACCTCGAAGAGTGCGAAGCGCAGAAGCGGTCCGCCACTCGTGAAACCTGCGGCCGCGTCGTTCCGCAGGAAATCACGGAGAAAGCCTGGGAGGGCCAAGGGCCACCCGTGCCAAGCGTTCAGGATTCACGAGTTGCTCAGCCCGGGCACTCAGCAGCTTGGCAACCTCCGGTCATGAAGAAAATCTCGCCCCTGCTCGCCCTACTGGTAGCGCTTCAAGTCCGAACCGCCCAACCTCGTCAGGACATAGAGGTGGCAGCGCCTCTGGATCCTTGCCTGACCTCAAGGTCAAAGGTTATAGCAAATCAGCTGATTCCTGTCCGTTCATGCGTCGGCCTCTCCATCTCCACAGAGAGGTCCCAAACACCCTCCTGTGCAACTGCAGCACTGCAGCACTGTGCATTGCATTACTTGCTTCAAATTGTCTGCTTGTCTGCTTGTCCCCGTCCTTCCAGGGCACCGAGGCAGCTGCGGAGTTGCCTTTAAATATGACCTGCCACGGCCGCAAAACCCGCTTCAATTTCCGCCCCCTCTTCCCTACAGCTGACCGGCCTGCCAAAAGCGAGGACCCTCCTGAGAGGGCTGCTGTGGAGCGGCAGCGATCGTCGCCCGCAGTGCCTCAGTGAAAACTTGGTCCCCGCAGCTTTCGAGCGACGCAGCAACCATCTTGCCATGCGCCTCGTGCCGGCACACAGTTGTCTGCCAAGCCCTCTTCCAGGCAGCAGCATCCACTCCGCGAAGCAGTAGAGGAAGCCTGATGTGAACACTTCGGGCCTAGAGACAGAGCAAGCTGCAAATGCAGGCAAGCAGCTGTTCCACATTGGCACCTGGATCCAAAAGGGTTTCTGCCATCATCCCCTCTTGGAGAGGCGTGCAGGGGTACACGTTCTCAACGTCCTCAAGGCTCCTGTTCAATCCCAGCATACTCGCACAAAGAAGTAGCCAGCTATTACTGCCATTGTTACTCGTATTACTGTTCTTACGATTATGAGTAGTGTCACTATTATCACTAGTATTATGATTACCAGCATTAAGGGTACTAGATGTACTGCTATTGTAGCAGGACGCGGGCCTGTCCCCAAGAACTGTCTTGAGCCACTCACTCAGCACCGCGACGGGTAGGACGCCAAGGGATGGAAAGTCGCTGGGCAAAGGCGGCCTGGCGGCCAAAGCCCCAAGCACATACTATAGGGACCTTAATAATTACCTATACTATTTGGGGGGTTCCTTTAAAGGGCTCCTTACAGGGATCCAAAATAGGGTTCTAATTTAGGGGCCCACATAATTACCAATACTATTTTGGGGCGTTCCTTATTATAGTTATAGTATAATGGGCTCACAAAACCTTATTCTAGTTATATTACTTGCTCACCACTTCTTGCATACAAAGGCATCCATGCGCACACTCTCACGCCACAAACCGCAAGCCCTGTCCTGCCAGAGGCAAGCTTCTTCGCACACTCACAGATTTCCGGAATTTGGCGCATGAACTCGTCGAAAAAACGGCCCACCAGCCTCAACGGGATCTCACGGAACTGCTGTGCTTCACAAACCCGGATCTGGATGGTCCAGGACAGGTCACTCAGCATCAAAGTCGGGATGATAGATCCATTCAATCTCCAACGATGTACCGTTCTCACCGGCCAGAAGCATGGCCTGAGACGACTTAGTAGACTTCGTCTTCTTCGCTGCCCAGACGGGACTGCAATCACTCGAACCCGGACGCTGCCTCAATCTCCAGGAAGTACTCGCGAAGGTTTTCCTCTGCCACGTCGTGCTGTGACAATGTCCTCCACTCTGGAGCCATGCTGAAAAGCTGCGAGTCACCATCCTGCTGGCTTGCCTGCAGCCGTCAGGGGTGTGCTGCTCTCTTCCTTTAGCTTCTCGGAGGCGCAAGAAATCTCACTACAGGTGGGCCTGACCGTGGTAGTTGAAGGAAATCGTGGGCTGTACGCTGTGGCCGCGAACTGCGGAAGAGCTTCTACAGCGCTCAATGTTTTCGAGGAGTGCTTCCGGCATCGACTCGGACACCTGCACTGCCATGCACTGGGCTGGACTCAGCAAACTCACACACGTTACTTCGTGACTCGAGTGGCCTCCAGACAGAGCGGCTTCAGCTCTGTGAACCAGCCGACGGTGTTCGCGAAGTCTGCGTGCTCTGCACCACGACCGTGCCCCTCCATGTCTACCCACAGCAGACGTTCTGCACCAGCTATTTGCGCGAAGGCCTGCACAGCACACACAATGGAAGATCCCATTGGTTCCGACTGGAGGAGAGTCATCAAGATTCTTACAAGCAGCTACTGCAGTGAGAGAGACTCCCCCTGCCACCTTGGCCAAGGCCGCCAGGAGCAACTCCGAAGGCCGCAGTTCCCCACATGAGAGCAGCAGCGACGTTTGTACACAATCCAGGCTCCGTACCTCTGCATCCACAAAAGAAATACATGTGTGTGTGCATGCATATATACATATATATATATATAATAAGTAAGCATGTATGTATGTACAGACGAATGTATATACTTGAATTTGTTCAATCATTCATTTGGCCAGTTCAATGATGTTATACATTCACTTTGTAAGCTAGCGAGCTAGCTAGTTTAGCCCAGTTAGATTCAGGTAGCTAGGTAGTTTCTTCCTTATTTAGTTAGTTGGCTAGTTGGCTGGTTGGTTAGCTAATTAGCTAGTCAGCTAGTTAGCTAGTTATCTAGTTCGCTAATTTAGCTAGAAAGCCAGTTTGCTAGTTCGCTAGCTAGCTAGTTGAGTTAGCTCTTTATCCATTTATGCTGTACCTGTTACCGATTTTCATAGTTCGTTACTTATGCCTTGACACTCAGATGCAGAATGATCATGATTATTGTTTCGAGGTTATGATCACCAGTGTTACTACTATTGTGACCATCATTACTATCAGTACTAATACTACTACTCCATTATCACTATGATTTTTACTCGTATTACTGGACTTCTATTACTAATTATTGTTACTACTACCTCGATTATTCCTATTGTTACAATTTTTGCTATAATTGAAATTATTGCTATTATCACCACTATCACTACTATCACGATTATTACCATGACTACTAGTACACAGTATTACTATTGCTACTATTGTTTGTATTGTCACCATTGTTCTTATTCCTATTTCTTCAGTAGTATCATTGTCAGCACTAGTTCTACTGTCATTACTCTACTACTCCTCCTCCTAACACTACCACTACCACGACGACTACTACCGCTACTACGACGACTACTACGAATACTACCGTCAGACTGCCGACACAATAACTTCTGTGAGTTGTATGGTAAGAACGGACTACACATGCAACTGCCCCGTAGCCGCATCCGGGCCTGACGTCTTGCTCTGGCCCAGGTGTTTGTACCAAGATCCAGACGGCCCTGTCAAGAGGGACTCTGACATCCACGGGTAATGAGGCTATGATAAGCTATATGCCTAGTTTGTCCAAGCTCAAATTTGGCACTGGCCAGGCCTGCGCAACAGCCGCGACCCAGTCGACCACCGCAGTCTTTGAGCGCTCGGCAGGGCTGCAGGTTGTCGCTCCGGGGATTTTCGGAGCTTGGTCGCTTCTGGCCTCCAGCACGTGTGGCAGCCGAACATACCTCGCAGCACGTTCAATCACTAATTGCAGCACCTCATGCCCTTATCAGAGCCATACTTCACGCTACGCAGCTCTGCTTCCCAAATGAATCCTATACGCTGAGCTCCGTGCGTGTGTGCGAGCGAGAGAGAGAGAGAGAGAGAGAGAGAGATAGAGAGAGAGAGAGAGAGTATGATGCTGTGGCTAAGAGAAAAGTCGCGGCAACTCCAACACATAACGTTGCAAACGCTGCCTGCTTGGGCTGCTTCGGGCGTGAAAGGGCGCGTTTTTTTGAGTTTTTGCCCGTCTGTAAACCAAGAGAATACGCGGAGCCCAGGTCACCCGGCCTTGGCGAAAGCTCTTCACGGAACAAGCAGTGTTTCCTGTGTGGAGCTCGGTTGCTCAAGCCGCGGCCATCACGGCATGAAAAAGTTGTTGTCAATGCAGAGCAACATGACACTGAACCACGTTACTGAAGGCATCGTCGGCATCGTCTAACAGAAAGTTATGCAGTGAATATACTGCAGGGAAGGCCTAGTTGAGGCAGAAGAACTTGATAATTATGTGAATATCAACGTGTCCGCTCAGAGGCATGAGCCCTCTGCCTGGGGTCGTGCATATCTGCTTGAATATCAGGGCCTGGTTGTGCGAGACATGGCTCGACTAGATGAAGCTTCATGAGGCGTGCTTATTCAGCAAAACTAAGGACCAGTGCCACTGCAGCTGTTCTACCGGTGAATCTAGAAGTGAATCTCTGTCTATGCTGCGGACTCGTAGCTTTGCGTCTACAGGTTGTTTGATACAAATCCGAGCGCAACGTCCTTTAGACCAAAACTCAAATGTGCAAGCTTGAAGTGTGATCTTCGTGCTTTTGCAAGCCACTCGTTGAAGGATCGCTGCACCACGGACAGCTGCATCTCTTGGACCATACCAAGCTCATGAAGTAGAATCTTCCTTGCTGCAACCCAAAGAGAAGAAGAACCGCAGCCATGGTGGGCCATGGACATGAAACTCTGTTGTGACAATATCAAAGTAAGAGTGTAGTCCAAGCGGCTCCAGGTCTGCAATGATCACCTGCCAGGACACGAGGTCCACAACCAGGTGGTGGATGACGAGGAGTAGTCTCGTCGATGCTTCATGCTCTGTGGCTCCATCCCTGCAGGGGACCATCCATGGCAATGGTCAAAGCTGCCTATGGGACTGATTTTGGGTAAAGACCTGATGCAAGCACACCTACCGTGCTTGGTCTTGATGCGACCTGCTCAGGTGCACAAGGGCTCCAGCCATCATCGGGCCCTTCTTCAAATCCAGCGATTGTTGCAAGCAGCTGCAAACGTCTCCCAACTCGTCTAGCCTGGTCGGAAGGCATTTTCCCTGGAACAACACATCACCGGGCTTGAGAGTCTGACCGTCAGACCCAAGGTGAGGCAATATCAATTTGTTTGATGGCACGGAAGGAATGTCTCGAACATCATGGGGGGTCTCATACGAGTGCGACTAGTACCACAAGCTCCAAAGTCTTGCGGATAAAAAGTTCCATCCCGGCCTTGCTCTTCTGATCCTCGTGCAGACGGCCGCTTCCGCCTCACGAGGTGGCCGAACCCGCTGTTTACACGCGCTTGGGAAACCTGAGCGGACATGTGTGCACAGCTCAACAAGAACAGAGCCACGAAAGCAGGGATCTGAGACGAGACAAGGAGCTTGCCCGCAGCATGTCGTGGTGCTCCGCGAGGTGCACCAAGCATCGATGGAAGCTGCCGGCGTCCAACCGTGCTGCTTCGTGGCTTGGAACGAGCATGAGGGACTGGTTGTAGTGATGTGGATTGTGTAGATCCAAAGCGAAGAATCGAGTCTGCATCGAGCTCATTTCGACATCGCCCTCGAGTTTTGAGGACGAAGCAATGTCACCACATCCCACGCTGCATCCTTCAATGCTCCTCGCAACCGCTGCCACGGAAGTGGCGGTCAGCAGTCTTGACGGCGCCAGCTCGTAGCCCTGCTCTCGGAGCCCTGCTGAGACACGGATGGCAGAAATGGAGTCGCCGCCCAAGCGTGTGAAGGGCTTCTCCAATGCAAGCTTTTGAAGTCGAAGGATCTTCCGGAGCAGCTGTACGAAATGCTGCACAGGAGCGGTGCGAAGATCTGGGGGGAGCTCCTGGGCCTCATCCGAGCCAACCTGGTGTGCCTGCAGAGTGTTGTGAATCCAGCTTTTCTCAATTTCACAGTAAACAGTATGACTGTGCTCAAGTATTGGTGCTGGCTGCTGCGACACGTGATTACATGTGTTCCCGCTGGTCCTCTCTGATTACTCTGATGACCAGTGCTTGTTTGTTTCTCATGGCTGGCATACCATTTTGCGATTCAATCTGTTGTGCCTGTAGGGGCATGGAGTTGCGAGACTTCTGCCGGTGACAATCACGACGAATGATCTCGTTCCTTCTTCAAGATTCGTTATTGCCGGTCATCCACCGTAGAAGCCCTTTAATACTACCCCTAAACCCTAAACCCGAAAGCCCAAACTCCCCCAAGCCTGCAAATCCCTTCACCCTGAACCCTAAGCCCTAAACTCCCTAAACTCCCTCAACTCCCTAAGCCCTTATAAACTCCCTCAACCCGCAGCTGTTACGAGGGTGCCTGCGCCTGGGAGAGAAGCTCCTGAGCCTCCCGAGCCAGGCGAGGCCGATCCAACTTGCCCGTGGGACTGCGGGGCCAGTCCTGAATCTCTTAAGGGTTCCTTTAAGGGGTTTCGGGATCCGTTTCAAGGGACTTAGGGCGTTTGGGGCGTTTACAGGGCCCAGGAGCTTAAGCTTTGTAGGGCTTGTTCGAGCCTGTTATGGGATTTGGCTCATCTCTTTTGAAACTAGGACCCGCCTCGAGGCCTCGCGAGAAAACATGGTGTGGCACCATGTGATCGGGCAGCGTCTTGGCTGCAAAGCTCTGTGGAAGCTCGGTTGGACTCGAAGCACCCTTCCGAGGGGTGACGAAAGCCACAAGTCTGGCCTGAGGCACGGTGTCAAAGCAACAGGACCAGAAAGATTACTGTTTGCTTGATCAGCCTCGGCTTGCCCAGGAGATGTCGTCGCGCAGACGACGGCTGCCTCTGCGATGCCGGGGCACTTCCTCAGCACCGACTCGACCTCTTCGAGCTCCACGCGATGTCCACGGACCTTCACCTTGTCAGTCGCACACTGGAGGTTCATTTTATTCCGGTCACTCTCACCTTTTCCAGAGCACTTAGAGTCGCAGATGTCTACGAAGCCACTGTCCCCTTCCGGCCTGTGCATCTAGTCGTCCGAGAAACTCCAGGCCGGAGCTTCTGCCCCATCGCACTGCGTCACCGGTGCGGTACTGAAGGCCCGAAGAGCGATGCGAGCTCCCGAAAGCTTTGGAGGTCTCCTCTGCCGTCACATAGCCCTTCGCAAGCCCAGGGCCAAAGATTCGGAGCTCACCAGGGCAGCCCAATGGCACGGCAGCACCACTCGGCGCACAGACCTCCACGGCCCGGAAAGTATCCGGCCAGCCGAGGGCAGCGTTATGAACTTGACGGAGCCTCTCCTTGTCCAAGCGCCATGTCGTGCAGTCGACAGCGGCTTCGGTCGGGCCGTATGTGATGAGAACCCGTGCATTTGCAAAAGTCTTCAGAGATTGTTGCAGAAGCCTGGCACCATATTCCGAGCAGGAGAGACTTCAAACTCGTTATGCTGCCATGCTGCCGACCGACATGGGTCATAGACCTTGTCTGTTATTGGGGGACATCCTGGCCTGTCACTGACAGCCTCGCCGCCCAGGTTGATGCGTCGCACAGCAGGCAAGCGTCGACGCGTCTCCTGCTGGCTGCCGCAAGCATACGCAAATGGCATGCGACTTCCTGTACAGCGATGCAAAAACGCTGCCAGTGTTCTTGCCGCTCCAGCACCAAGGAGAATAGCGTCGGAACCATGTCGAGGCTGGTGGACAGCGCCTGCTGATGCAACCACGATCATTTACGGCTCAATGCGAATTCACATCTTCGACAATTCATTGTTCGACGACGCTGGCTGACGGTGAACTGGGAAAGATTGCATGGACAAAATTGGCAGCCTCGTCCGAGGTTCGCATTAGCCCCGCAGGATCTTTGCAGGCTACTTCTGGTGGAACACAAAGTGACCCGCCCATCACCAAGTTCGGATACAGCCTCAGAGTTCCAGCGCTGCAAACAAGAATGGTCCTGGTTTATCGACTATGATCCAGTCGCTCAGCTCCGGACTGACTCACGGCAAAGTCGAAGGCAAAAGCCTCAGGCAGGTCGCGGATTTGTCGGAGAGACAGATCGGCAAGCACTTGTTCTTGGCACAGGAAGGCATCCGAGCCACAATCGATTGCAAGGCGCGGTCGAACGGCTGCAGCTCGAATTTGTCGCAGCAGCAAAGGATGTGGCTAAGCACTGCTTGATGTGACACGGAGACTCCTCGAGGGTACTCGAAATGATTTTTCACTCAAGATGGTCAATGCTCAGCTCCTTTTGGTCGGCCGGTGCTGCCGGATGTGTAGAGCATGTACATCTCCGAGGATGGCCTACATGGCCTGCAGGAAGCGTCATGCCTGGTGCACATCACCAATCTTCCGCGGAACCTCAGACTGGAACCCGTGCCTTGGAATCTCTTCGCCGGCAGAATCTGGCGGTGCTCCATCCCGGAACACCTGGCATGCACATCTTGCTGCATACTCTGTTTGCTGCGTCCTACTCCAGAGGAAAGAGAAGACGCAAGGGTCGCCTGTATGTAGATGGCTGTTGACAGTGTCGGTGAAAAAGAAAGTGCAACACCCATCAGAGGATCGAAAAGCTGGCGTCCGCTCCGTGTTTTGGGTTTCAACAAAGCGACAAACAAGCCGCCGGGATTTTTCCCGATCCTGTTCGCTCATGCACTTGCTTTGCTTCGTTCGTTCTTTCTGCTGCGGGTTGAGACGTCCCAGTCCCCACGAGCTGGAAATGCCCTGTCTCCGACAGAAACCACTAGCCTACAACCCCCAACGTGCGTGGGCCTGAAGACTAAGGCCCGCATCAACAACCGTGACCCCTCCGGCAATCCCAGCAACAGACATACCCATAAGTGCACAACATGCTCTACTTATTCCCACCCTCTTTGGTCTTTGCCTCAGCAGGGCTACCCCCCACTCCCTGTGCGCACAAGCGTCTTGGATGTCCAATATGTCCGGTCTGTTGTATACTCAGCAGGATGAGGCACTGTGTTGCGCCGAAGTAACTCTCATGAGTACAACACCCCGGCCTCATCTTCCAGTCTAAAGCGGTTGCTTGCTGTGTAGCCCCCACGCACAGTTTGTGGTACTTCCACTCGTGCAATAGGGCAACTTCACATGTACAAGGTCTCCGCCATAGCCGTCCCCTGGAAGCTGCAAGCACCACAAACGCTACTGGTCCCCCTCTGTTCGGTGACATGCCGCAAAGGATGCAGCATCAAGTGCACTCATTTACAAGACCACAATACACTTTACGGTTGGAGGGAGGCCCGATTGTTCACGCAGCACAGCACTGTAAGACTAAGGCCATCAAACAACTCCGAAACAAGGCGTCTGCGCGTGTCCCGGCTCAAAGTGTTCTTTTCAGCCTGGCGCGCGGCTGTTCTGTACACAAGAGCTCCGACGGTACGCAAGGCCTTTTGTTCGTTGCTTGCGAACATCTAAGCTACAGCTACCCCCTTATAAAGTTGCCATGTCTATCGTAGAAGGCTGCATAGGCCCTGCGCCGACGGTGACTTTCTAAAATACTCCGCTTGGCCCTCTCAGCTTCCCCACGGATCTTCTTGCGACCTTTGGGCCATTTCGTCACTTGCGCTCGGCAAACTTCCTGCCCACTGTGTTGCATACAATGGGGACACCCACTTGTCTTGACGAGGCACCCCTGTGTCCGGTGCTGCGTTGCCCCCTTCTTCTGTCGTCTGTGTGTCCAGGGCATAAGCTCGGCCCCCATCCACGTGTTGCATCCATGCCGCCACAGCTGCGATGACAAGCCTGACTTGTTCATGGCCCACTGTAAGGCAGCCCAAGAATTGGCGTATGTCCACTAGCACCGCTTGAACGCGATCTCGAACTGTTTCTGTTCTCGCCGGGGGTCTTTCTGCAGCCCCCTCGTTGAGTGCGAGGACGTCCGCCGCATGCACATAATCGAGAATCAAAGCCTCATCGATGCAGTCCTCCGCGTCCTCGATCCCCCAGCCTTCGGCACACCAGTCAAGGTCCCCGTTGGTCGTGGATCCCATGGCTGCAAGTACAGCGGCGCGGGTTTGCTCCAGTCCCTCTCCACTAGCCTGGATTGCAAAGCCCCCTGACGTCCCCACAAGGATTGCAGCTGCTGCTTCCCTCTCTGTTCGTCAAACTTGAAGCTTTCCTGGAGGTCCGTGCAGAGCTCGAGCAGCGACGGCAACAAGCCTCCGCGGTAAGTTGCGTCTACGAGCGCCGAAGGTTCTCGGAGCCAGAGCCGCATTTTCGCTGCCTCCTTGCTGAGCCTCGCCCTTCTCGCCGCTTGCTCTTGCGACGGCCCCCCCAGCGTACCACCATGGCCATCTACCGAGGAACTGGCTAGCTGCCTACTGCTGCTATGCTGCATGAAGCTAGTGTAGTCAGGGTGTTGCTGGTGGGTCGGCTCTGGTCCCCCTGTGGCTGTCGGTGACGGCGCTCTTGGCGTTGGGCCTGGGTTCGGGGCTGCTTCCTCCTCTATGTTGATCTGCTGCTCCGCGCTGCCAGTTGCTTGGCTTTCATCTTGTAGGATGTTTGGGTTTGCTGCTGCTGGCCGCGGGTTCAGTGGAGAATGGGGAATCCATTCAAGAGGGCAAGGGTCACGCTGATGCCGAGGTATCCAGGCGGTCTGTGGTTGTGGTCTCGCAGACTCTGTCTTGCTCCCCCTGTTGCTGTTGTGCTGGGCCGTTGCTCTGCTCTGCAACTGTGCTTGGTGCTCGTGGGGCCCCCTGGTGCTCCTGTGGCATAAGGTTGCTTTCGGCCTGGGCCCCCTTGAAAGGACTCTGGCCCACTCCTCCTCCTCGTCCTCTTCATATAGGCCAACGTGATGGCCTAATTCTCGCCAGATCTCGTCCTCCCCCTTCTCCCAGCCTCTTTGCTTAGGCTGCCCGAACCGCTGCTTTAAAGCGCTTGCCACGCGTGCGGTGCTCCCCCCCGCCTTCATGGTATGGGGCGTCGCGGACCTTGTTCGCCTTCTGGCTCCTCCTCCAACGCCGTCGAAGGGTAGGCTACCCGGTGCCGTGCTGTAGTTGTGGGTGGTGGGTCCTAGCTGTTTCGCCACGGCTTGCTGCGGTTGAATTCGTGCTTCTTGGTGGGCCCTGGCCCTTGAGTTCCGTGTTGGCTGTCGTGACTGTAGTGGCTGCAGCGGCGGCGGCGTCTGTTCTGGTGCGCTCACTTGCGGGAGAGGCTGCTGCTGCTGAGGTTCCGGCATGGGCAGGTGTGGGCCAGTGAACTGCTGTGGTCCTAATGGTCGCTGGCTTGTTTGCATCTGGTCTTTTGGTTGGGTGTCACAGGCTGGCGTGGTTTGTATACCGCTCTGCGGCTGCGCCGCAGTCGTGGGTAGCCGGCGCAGGGTGCGTCCCCACCGGCTGCGGACTGGCAGGCTGGGTGGCATTGGTGTGCTCGCCTCATGATGGGTTGTTTGCGACGGGCATGTGTGCTGTGGCACTGCATGCTGTTGCAGGGTGGATTGTTGCCAAGCTGGCTGGTGCTGGTTCGCCAGGGATGCCTGGTTTTCGGCGGTCTGCTGCGGGTCCGTGTGCTGTGTTGGTGGGAGGTATGTGATGGTGTATCCCCACTGGTTGACGCTCGGCGGGAGCGTGTACACGAGCTGGCTGTCTGCCGCTTGTGGTTGTTGGTGCGGCTGTGCGGGGGTGGCTTGGTGCTGGTTCATCGTCTGTTCCCACGGTCCGACCTCTGGCCCCCCCCTGAGCTGGAGATTGCCGAGGCCGCTGGCAGTGGCTGTCGCCGCTGCTGCTGCTGTAGCCTCCGCTGCACAGGCATTATTGGACTGTTGCGGTGATGGCGGCTGTGCGCCTGCTGCTGTTGGCTGGCTGCCACGGTGGGTGTGTTCGTCTGGCGTCGACGGTTGCTGCAAGCTGCCGGACTGCTGTGGTTCGAGCGTTGGCGGCGTTTGTGGCGCCGCCCACAGCGTGGTTTGTTCCCACGAGTCCTGGTGGGGATCTGGTGCGTGGTGCTGCTGCAGTGGGTTCAGCGTGCTTCTGCCGCCACTGCTTGCTTCTTGAGCTGGGGTTCGTGGTGGTGTCGTGTCTCTGGGCTTAAGTACGGACGTGCCCGACTGCCAGACTAGACTCAGAACGCCTAGTGGGATCAGCCAGCGGTGCATGTTTGCTCCGCGGTTGCTGTAACGTTTCGGCGTTGCTGAGAGTTTTTTGCCGCGCTTGAGCACTGTGCGGCCAAGGCCGGATGCACTTGAGAGCTGTCTCAAGCATGCACGTTTAAACCCTGCCACAGCAGCAAACTACATCGGTTTCAATCGCGACTCTCTGCCCCCTGCTGGCAAGGTTGGTATTTGGTGTGAGATGCCCCCCACGGAACATGGAAACGGTTGACAAACTGTGCTTCCTGCCCTGTCCGGACTACCGAGTTCCTCGCCACTGCCATCCAGTCCGGTGTGGCAATTTTCGTTATCTGTCGCTCTGGGTCTACTGGTGCGGTGCGCACTCTTTCCTTCGCCAGGGCTGTGGGCCGGGGATTGCTCCCCTCTGTCTTGTGCGACCCCCCGGGGTTTTGCCCCAGGTGGGCTCGGCTGTACTGTTGCAGAGGGTTTTTCCACACCATTGACTTCGAAAACAAGCAAGACTAACGGCTTCCTTGCAGCAACTCCGTGTGGATTCCCCCGTTTGAGTGCTTTGCCCTCTCCTCGTTAATGTTTGTAGCAGTAGCAGCGAACTAACAAACACAGTGTGCAGCAAAGGTGCAAAACATCAATCTGAGGGCCGAGGGCCCGGCCAAGGTCTGCAAGCAGACTGACTAGCTTAGGATTATATGCAGGTAAAGAGTACGAGTATGTGCTGTAGCTTGCTCGACCCCGTCTTGGGCGGGCCTTGGCACTACACTCTCACACTACACTGTAGCTGGCGATGCTGGGGGCTTTGGCTTCAGGCTGACAAAATCTACGACGCCTATGGCTTCGTCATCTCAATTTGGAGATCTTCCCCCTCTCACTGGCGCGAAGGGCTCGATCGGGCTGTCGTCGAAGTCGGCACATGCTCGCTGGGTACGGTCGCCATGTCCCGCAATGCATGCGATGTCGGCCACAAGGCTGTCGGTGAGGACGTTCTCTGCGCGGCTGGAGGTTGCCCCTCCTTGTTCCCCCGTCCCGTCGTGCTCCTGCTCGGTCGTGTAGTGGGCGGGGTCCTCGCGAAGCTCCTCCGTGGTGCCGTCCAGGTCTCGAGCGCAAGGCGCGCCCGTCATGGACCGCGACTGCTACCATGGGTCAATGCTCTGGAGAAGGCGCACTGCCAGGGGCACTTGGACCCCCACCAGAGTGGGGATCAGTGCTCTGAACTCAGTGGCTGCTTGCATCAACGGCTGCCCCCGGCTGGTCGGTTGCTCCACGCGCCAGGCCCAGAGCGGCGGGGCGCACTTCTCCCTGCATCGTCATCCCATTGCCAGCTGTGTCTGGCCGAACTGAGAGAAAGCGA